CGTACCCTATATCCGCCCATTGTTAACTAATCCTGTGCTTTGCTGAATAAAGTATTATGTCTTTACTCATCCTTGTTTTAAATATCACCTCCTAGGTTGTGCTTTGGTGACATCATTTTTTCTTGCCGTCATTACAAACATTAGCAAAGCCAGCCCTCAATGTAAATTTTAGATGAAGTAATAATTCATTCTTTTACAAAATCTGTATTGTTTTTACAATGTGTGAGCTCATAAATTCTTATACCTATAACACTGAAGAGAAATATTAGTGGATTTTTATTTTTAATTATACCTGATAAAAAGTCTACGAATTGCAACGAGCTGTTTAATTGTAATTTTCAACAGTTCTTTTTATAGAATTATCAAGATTTTTATTTTCATTCACCATGGCTAATACACACTTCAACTAAATTTGAAGAAAGTTAAGATTCATTATAACATTTAAATCTGTGGTTTCTCGGTGAATACTTATACTGTATAATGTAAGTACATCTTTTTAGAAAGGAAATACGCTGCTTGGAAACTCGTTGCCCATTTGGAAAAATAAAACATAAGAAAAAATGTCGGCCTCAGAAACGATAATACGTGCATTTGTTCTTACAGTTTATCTAGCGGGCAAAATTTGGTCATGTTATTCAAATTTCAGAGAAATATCATTATTTATTTTGTAAGAAGTTTTTTTATTAAAACTTTATTTACTAGTTATTATTATATCACTGCACACGCATAATTCAGTATACACAGCTTTTAACTGCGGCGTCACTCGAAATTTGTAAGGAGGGGCACAAACTAAAGCAGAATTTTTCTAGGGGGATGCACACGCCATAATTTGCCTTACGCTAGCTGCAAGGCGCCTTTAAACCGACCGTTTTCTTATGCTGTACTCGGGTTTTAATGATATGCCATTATTATTGCATTTTTTACCGATGTTATCCCTCAATGTTTGCTAGATTTGAGGATCTTATCTTGCCTCTTCCAGGTTTGTAAATATAAATTAATGCTGATTTTTTCTTCCGTTTTTATATCGTCCAACCTCTATATGCTAATTAGCTTAAAACAATTGAAACCCTATACTCATCTCAATTACGTGTAAGTAACTTATCATTATTTATTTATACACGTAAGTTTGCCGAAAAATGTTTGTATTAAAAAAGTTTGTTCTCTATATTCAATGTACAACGCCCATTAATTTTCTTTAAGTCAGCAGGGACTTTTGATTATAGATAAATGGGGAGAGGTGAGATGGGTGGGTGAGCTGAATATTTATATATGCATTTTCGATTTCTAGTTCATGTTATGATCATTTGTGATTATGTATTATAACATGTGAATATATGAATGGGGCCCATCTGAATTATCAATCTTCCGTGATCACAGATGAATTATTTTGTAGATTTTTTTGGAATTCCATAAAAAATTATACGCACAGTTTTAATTGAAGAAAACTTTTCATTAGTTAAATAATCTTTCGGTGGTAATTTAGGATTTAAAGTTCATTAAACTTGCATGAATCAAAGTTTTCTTTGCTAAATGATAATAAATTGATACTTTAATGAATCATCATAATTTTGTGTTATACTTGTTCTTGCAATTTTTTAAGGTGTCCTTAATTTTATTTCCACATGTTTATCATGAAAAGACTGTACAGCCAGTGCCATGTTTTTTACAAACATTTCAGACTCTTCTGATAAATACAATTTACAGTTAAAAAAGAACGGACCATCTGGAGAAAACACCTGTATAAACATAGAGAGAAATCTTCAACGCACGACCTTTTCTGTTATTTTTAGATGGTTAATAAAGGCCATTGTGATTCGTAATTTTTTATATGTTGTAAGGGTCAATTATTTAGTACTGACTGCTGACATAAAAAAATGAATATGCAGGTACCTTCGTCTGTTAGCTATAATTGAGTGTGAACCTGCTTTCAGACTACATTTTATATCCAGCTCATTCTATAGAAATCATTATAACATCTATTACTATAATTATATCATCCACCAAATTATTGATATTCTGCGGTGCCAAATGAAGCATTTTCTAATTTTTACGTAACAATTCTATAAATAAAAAAAAGTTTTTCATCACATAAAAGTTTTCTAATATTAGTAAATAAAAGTTAAATTATACTAAACTTGCACAAATTAAATTTCTCTCGGCTCAATAATAATCAAAAGGAACAATTGCCGTTGCAAAAAATCTAAAAATTGTTTTATTAATATCTCAATTTCCTTGGTGGATGACCTAACTAACATATTAGTTCGTAGAATAACAGTATATATTAAGATTAATTATCCGATAGTTCTAAAAGAACTGTTTTAAATTTAAAAGACACGAAACATTTCTTCCAAATACTGTTCAGGTGTCAACTTCTGCTAAATGTGTTCTGGTTTTAAACAGTTGTTTTAATTATATTAGGTGTTTTTGGCCATTTCCCATGGGATTTGCAATGTTCAAAACAATAAAGAAATTTTTCAATATGGACAAATATTTTAGTTCCAGTTTTGATCCTTCATGCAAATTATTTCTCGTTCTTTATCATCATAGCTATACCATTTCAAATCAGAGAGGGAAGATTAACTTCTGCTCTTAATATAAAGCATTGAGTCTATGCAGCTGATTAAAAGCCTTTTTCATGTATGCAATGAACAATTGCATGCAAGCAAGGGCAAAACGTCATTTAAAGTTTTGCTGGACTTGACAAGGGCATTCACATTTATTAAAATTTTCCTTTCATGTAGCTAGCTTTGTTCAGCTGATCGACAGTGTTTTCTGGTCGGTTGACGGATATTTAGTTAATAGAGATTAAAAATGAATATGTAAATTTTAATTGATAAAACATGGACACTGGTGGTACAGTCAGCAGCAAAAATTTATGCTACGCATGTGCATAAAGTTTGATAGAAGACTGAAAATTTGTATAGAAATTAGCCTGATTTCTAATTGCTGAATTTAAGAGGCATAACAACTTGCTATTTTAGAACAAACATGGCGCGGTACAAATAATGAAAAAAAAGGAAAGCAGTACAGCGACAAGTAAGTTAAGAAATGCTCGAGTTTTAGAAGCTTATTCCTAATCGAAAACCATATGTACGCTGACATATCGTTGGACAAATAATTGACATAAAATTGAAAAATTTTGTCTGTTATATAAAATATACAATGCTTCTTAACCCTCCAAATTCTTCAATCTAGCTACGTTGTTGCAGAATCGATTAAGTCGTTAAACAGATTTACATATAATTTGCAAATATATACATAAAAAAACGACATTTTAACTGTCTTCTCATCAATGCAATAAGAGTCCCACAACTTGCTGATCATTTTAAACTTTTTCAAAATTTAATTTTTGTTCTAATTTGTACAGAAATAGGTGAGATCATCGGCGGAATAAATGGAGGCATAATCGTCGTTATAGTATCGTGCTGTGCAATTGCTGCATGTTTATAGGTTTGTAAGCCTACACCTTAAACGTCACTGGTCTTAAAATATCTACCCAACATGTTTGATTTTTATATTACGTATTAAAATGCACTCACAACTTTTCATGATAGCTAATATTTAAAAGACATAAATTAAAAGATAATGCATATAATGATAACATGCATAAAAATGATGCTACATTGTTAATATTACTTAATTGAAAAAGATTGTAACTTTACAGATGGAATAACGCAAACTTGTTTTTCTTCATTGAACGATGTTTGTCATGAAGTAATGATGAAGAAAAGTTGATATTCAAACGTAAGTATGAGAACCGAGTCAGTCTCTTGTATCAAAAGTTGCCCTTCCACCTTTTTGCAGAGCTTTACTTTTCTGCCTGGTATCTTTGTAAATTGAATACACTTCTATAAACTAATTGTATTTATTTTATTTAATGAAATCATATAATTTCATAACTGAGGTTTGCTAAAGTGATTTAAAATTCATAAATGCTTAGCACATTATATATTTCAAGTTAACATACTTAGCTAACAAATATTTAAAACGTTATTCCACATTCGACGTTGAAAGAAATGTTGTATAATAACTCAGGCCCTGGCCTCTACCTTTATTAGAATAGAGATTGTTAGATTGTTAGATTGTTAGATAGAAAAAAACAGCTGAGTATAATAAAGCTAAAAGGCATAAATCAACTTTCCTTTTATTAATTAAATTCATGTCACATCGATTTCGAATTCGGTCTTTGTGTTTAACTATAACAGAAGAAAACGGTAAATATTTTCTCACTAATTATGTTATTGCATGCATAGATATAGCTTTACCTCCATGCGTTTCTCCTTAATACTTACGATATGGAAGCTCTACTTGTATCGCAAGTTCACTACGCCTGGTTGAATAATGTGTTGTGATCAACTATCTATGTTACACCCTCCCTCACAAAAATGGGAAAAGAAGCAAGAGATCGTGATTTAAAGATAATCTTACCCTAGACCAGTTTCAATTTAAAAAAGAATTGTACTAGCCTGTTGTTTGACTTCATGGAGAAAAAAACGGGCTGTTGGTTAAAAATTCATTGCAAAAAGTATTTCATATCTTTATAATAAAAAATTAATGCTATTTCTATCATATGACACATTACATCTAATATGATGATAAAAAAAAAGGAATTGCTCGCGCAGAGTACGTTTCTCATTGTTAAAACAACAAAATATTATTTTAGCCATAGCTACTAAATGGCCTAAGCTTCAGAATTAAACAAGCGTAAATAGGTCTATTTGTTATAATTCTTTTCTCTCCATTCGTTGGAATTAGGTAATACCATGACGGCTTAAGTTCCCGAGAGGTGAAGGTCAAAAGTAATTTATTCCTAACAGAGGGACAATTATTAAAATGGTTAAAAGTTTATGCAAATATTTGAAAAATAGATAATTATTGAAGGAATTGTCACATTCTTGTGTCTATTTAAACATGGTGACCGTTTCTATCCATATGTCGTTCATAAACTTGATATGCAGCTTTTAAACCACTTTCTAAAGCACCTTGTATCCACTTTGTGTAAAGGAAATTCCTTCACCAGCGAAATGAACGTTTCCCATAGGCTCCCATAAATACCTAGTTTTGAAAAAAACAATGTATGTCATGACCAAATAAAAAATTTGTTTGACCTATAAAGTTTATACGAAGCTCAGATATCAACCAACTTTGCCACAATTCTTCAACTTATTAAAAAATGTAAGCACGTGTTTCTAAGACAAGCTTCAAATACAGTCTTAAAAATTAAAAGTTGAAGTACAAATTTGATTTTTTATGCACCCAGTTCTGATAAATAAGCTGTAAAAAAATGGAGGATTTGAAAATCTTATAAAAATTACGGCAAAAAACTTGTGGCAATGTTGTATTTCATCATACAGTCAAAGTTCGTGGCCAGTAAACAACGTGGTATGAACACAACTTGATCTCGCTAAGGTCATATTCTATAATTAGTCAATTATGGTTCAATATTAGCTATATTTGTAATTTTATGTACTCTAGCTTTTTATGTGTTCTTTCATGAAAAAATTGCATGTTATCCTAAATGATCCTACCTGATGTTGCCGTATTGAGCAGTTTTCATTGCTCCACACGCGCCTTGATAAGATGGCAGCCTATACCAATGATGAATTATACAGTTTGATACAAGTTCTTCTTTTAATGTTGGATGAATTTCTGCGAGTTGTTCCACTACTTTTCGTTTTACTTGCTCTTCTTCCATGGAGCCAAAAAGCAAAGCCTCCTTCGTCCATACGTAAATCATTACAAGCCCTTCTTTTGTGCAGGGGTCTTCCGGGGTGACGTAATGAACCTGACCTATGGGAAGGTTTGTAATTGAAAACCCACCTTTGATTCCTTCATCTTCCCAGAATCTTGTTTTGGTTTGAAGAAAGATTTTTGATGAATGCAAGGTAAGAATATGGTTCATAGCTTGAAGGTTTTTTTCTTGTCGCCAACTGGGACTTATTATTGTTAAGCTTTGATTTGAAAGTGATTTGGCGCAAAATATTAGTTGGTGTGGCAACAATTACGGCCTACATAAAAACAAAGTAGTAATTTTACCGTTGCACACATTACGTCTTCAGCCAGTCAGGAAAATTGTCTCCATACAGAAAGAAATTTGTCTAAAGTATGAATGAATGACTTATTGCTGTATTATATAACATTGAAATATGTCGTCTTTCACTGCTGAATCTTTTCGCACTAACCAATGAGGTTTTTCTTGTACATCATAAAAGTTCATTATTTTACAAAAAAGATACTATTGAAGCTAATGAATTGCAAGACGATGACAACAATAAGTCATATGAAATTGAACAACTCAAGACTTCAATCGTTATTGCGAACTTCTCAAAATGGATGCTTGTGGTATTTACTAAAAAAACGTAAGCATAAGATATTTTTTAAGTTAAATTATTCCCTTACACAGACAATCTTAAAATTTTTTGTAGCTAACATTAAAGCTATTGGTGAGCATTACAAACTTTTAACATTAACAATTGGCAAAATTTTTCAATCAGATAGTAATATAAAATACAAAAAAAATACGTTTAAAGATTGGTAATCCAGGCATATTTAATGTATAAAAATAAAAGTTTCTCCAGATTGTATATAAAATGATTTTATTGGGCTCTCAACTCGGTGCTTTGAGCCTTCATCAGAAAGATATAGGAAGTTATATACAATTCTTTTTCATTAGTAGACGCTTAGAGCGTCTAATTAGATTAGTGGGTGGATTAATGTGATTGGATGGTGTGGAATGCGTTGTCATGGGTATTGATGTATTGTGAATATGACTGCTGTTAATACCATAATAGTGCATTGTTGTAGTTTTGGCGTTATTTGTAGTTTTTTTGTCCTTTTTCTTTAGTTGTGAGTGCATGATGGGTATCCCAGCTTGCACACGACTTACTTATGACGTTGGTTAAAGGTTGTGAGAACGTCAGGTCCGACCTAACTTTTTAACGACGTTCGCACTACTTTAAGTAATTATTTTGACGTTGTACTGAAGTTGACACAACGTTTGTTAGCGACGTAGTAATTAACCGTTAAAGCAACGTTCATAGAACGTTGAAGTCCGAAGTTATAGCAACGCTGGAACCAACGTTGAAAGCCTGGTTAATTAGCGCTTGCATATGTTAGTGTAATCAGTCCTAAAGTAATGTTTTTTATGATATAGTTGCTGCTGCGACACTCACACAACTTCTACTGATGCAAAATTGAGAGGTTTGCGTAATCAGTCAATGTTCCTAAGACATGTGTTCATCATATATGTTCAAAAATATATTTTAATTTTTTTCTAAAATGGTGAAAAATAGTTTCCTAAATGCATTTTAAGAAAATTTTAAGCTGTTGAAAGAAATATTTATGAAAATATATGATAATTTTTGTTCTTAGGAATTCTAGAAATCTCATTTCATACAAAAACTGTGATTTTATTTTTGAAATAAATTTTTATTTTCAATTGTAATTTTACTTTTACATAGATGAGCATTTACATTGACAAGCATTTTGTTTTATGCCAAATGTAATTTGGAATATATTCCATGTATGTATATACATATTTATAATTATGTTTAAGATTAGCACGCATTCATAAGCAAAATAAAATATTTTCATAGTTAAGAGTTCTGAATGATTTTTCTTTTTTACAATTTCAGATGACGGCACACTAAACACTCAAGTATACCGCAAAACCACCTACATAGACCAAATACTCGATTTCAACAGCTTCCACCCAACACAACACGAAATAAGATGCATTCGAACACTTTTTAACAGGATACACTCTCATTGTAATACCGAAGAAGCCAAGAAAACAGAACGCAACTATATACTCCACATTTATTAAAAACAATTACCCTAGAAACTTCATAAACAAAACTATAAACAAAATACAAAACAAAACACAAACCGACAAAAGCAACAAGAAACCAGAAGAAATAGTAAAATCGTCACATTACCATACATAAACGGAACATCAGAAATGACTACCAGACTTCTTCGACCATTTAATATTAACGTCACTCACAAACCTACACAAAACTCAAATTATGTTTCGCCAAACATAAAGACAAAGCATTACACTCTAATAATAATAACACCAGTCATATTCACAATACACCAATACCCATGACAACGCATTCCACATCATCCAATCACATTAATCCACCCACTAATCCAGTTAGACGCTCTAATCGTCTACATATGAAAAGAACAGTATATAACTTCCTATATCTTTCTGATGAAGGCTCGAAGCACCGAGTTGAAAGCTCAATAAAATCATTTTATATACAATCCGGAGAAACTTCTATTTTTATACAAAAAAATAAGTGCATGCTCTGATTGGTCTATTGCTGTGTTTGCATTAGCCTGTTAAATCCAATTTCAGCCCAACCAACAAAATCAATCAATCAATCAATGAGATAATGCAAATTAATTTTTTTTCAAATTTTTCTGTTTTCTATTACTGTTATTTTGTAAAAGAAATAAAAGATGTTTTTTGTGTTTGCACAGGCTTATGCAAACCTCGGAGACGTTTATACGAACTCTCGAGCAAGTGCGGACCTTGACCTTTCGTCTGGGGCTTGCATTGATCTGCTCTTGATTTGTCTGAAAGGTCTCCTCGGTTTCCATCAGCCCGTGCAGACACGGGATGAAACTTCCTTTTCTTAAATAAATTTTAAATACATTTTTCATATACACCTTCCAAACAAACATGAAAAAAGTTCAAAACTACCATTATCATCAACAGATTTTTAAAGCTTTCACAAAAACGTCCAGAAATATTTTACTTCGATTCTTGTTTATGCATGCGAAGGACAGTTTTTGATTTCCTGCATTTATATTGGCTGCAGCTGCGGGCGGATTTTTTACGATATTATGACTGTAGTCGACGAGTTATTTCTGGCAAAAAAATTGCTTAGAAAATCAAATTTTTAAATTTATTTAAGAGCGGTGTAAATTGTTCGAAGAGAAAGCAAAATGTATTTAAGTGATATTTATCATAGCAAAAGTGAATTTTACTATTCGGAGACAGTACACTTAATAAAAAATTCAATTTTCGTCTCAACAAGCCACATCGAGCAATTTAAAATGCGATTATTTTTCTTTATAAAAATAAGAATATTTTCACTCGGTCTCAAAAGCATCTTGACATTCATGGAAGATTGCTTCAAACATTTGCTTGAAACATTTCTTTTTCTTCACAAATTTAAACATTAAAAATACGGTTGTAATATCAAACTACGTCTTTATTGTTTTTTCAGTAAAGGATAAAAACAATTCAACATAGACATATAATCAGAAAGATGTTCTGATATACATCAGTAAATTGAAAACTATATCATCAAAATATACAAGATGTACATTATAGAAATATGCTAAGCTTCTGTTTTTCATCAGTGAAGCAAAGTTTTTAACCAGTTCCTTTATGAACATCTACACTATAGATGAATATATTGAAGACATGAAGGCGTTTGTTGATACTTTGTTGCAGATTGAGAATTCATCTTCGAAAAATGCCTCGCGGAATAAAAATTGTCCTTGTCAACTTCAACTTTTAAATGGCGATACAACATGCTATCTCATTTCTCAGTCATTACAAATGCACAGAAAATACAACATTAGGGTTAAAACTCTCCACCGGTTTTCCTGTACATCTCATTAAAACTTTGTCCAAATCAGAAGTTTTTAAAATATAAAAAAGCAAAAAATGTGAATTTGTAATACAAAAGGATGGTAAAGTAAGACCGACATCCCCCATTAAGTCAACAGCAAATGATCGAACTTCCCGCTTTAATTTTCACGAGAGATGCGTTATCCAGTCTAATGTACATAACACAGGTTGCAATTCACAAGAGACGCAGATGTCTCGCTGTGGGGGAGTTTTATTTTAATAAACCCTTCGGCAGTATAGTAGTTCAACAATCACTGAACAAGTTCGTAAAGTAAAAGGTTAAGCAAACATTTCCGACTAAATTAATTTCGGTTAACTAAACTTACCTTTCCTTTATAAACAATTGATGCACCACTATTTGAATAACAAGACACCTCTACAAAATCGTTGAGCGGGCAATCATCTTTAAACCAGTAATTTATTTCATATACTTGCTTCTTGTATTCTATGTCATCTGTATTTAATATTCCACTATTGAAAAACGCTTTTGGCAAACTGTGCATGCCACCTTTCAAACAATGCATTTCAGGAGAATGCCATTTTCCCAATGGAAAAGAAAGATAGTGTTCAAGTGATTGGTCAAGATCATACGCATAGAAAACTACAGAAAAGCCTTGAACGGCGTCGCTGAATATGGCAAAAGACTTTCAAGCTTTATTAAATCCAAGTCTTCCTGCTCTTGAATAGAAACTTTAGCTTTAATTACATTGATAGTACTTTCAAGAAAATTTTCCACCGTGAACCGACTCCAAATTTTAATCCAACGATCCCAAGCATTAACTTGATCATCTACACTATTTGCTTTTGATAACCAAGTGTAAATCTGGTCACTGACAACACTTGTTGTTTCGTCGTAGTATTTTCCTGATTAAAAAAAGGTAAATTATTGTTACTAACAGTTTATAATGTTGATTTTATTCTCAAGACATAGATTCTCACCCAATTAAATATGGTTGTTTTCCCTTGCATGCCTCGTCAATAGTTTTTTTTACATATCTGAATCATAAAAATAGACAAAAACATCTCATTGTATAATTACCAATATTCAAAATGTCTTTTCGTAATAATTCATTTATTCCATCCATCCAGTTTGGCCAAAATTTGTCAAAATGTTTCTCAGCCCAAACTGAAAACACGAGACACAAAGCAGCATAAACAATTATTCTAGCAAATTAATCATTACATATGAAAGAGTAGTACTAACAATATCCAGTTGCATATAGCGACATAATGAACTGTAGTGGCAGGCATTTTAAGTGTAATCCAGTATTAGCAGTATTAGTTATAATGCAGGCCTAAGTTCGTTGTTGAGAAAATAATTGTTGTAAATTTATAGAAATGATTTGAGTTTTCTTTCTATCGATGTTTGCCTTTCATGTTACAAACTTTCTATTTGTATAAAAGAACAACACTTGAATATGTTATACAGAGGCGTAACTAGAACGTTAACTGGGTGTGTATATTCATATATTCCGTTGTGCCCTGCCGATTTCTTTGAAACTCAAATCACTTTCATGAGAAATCAGTTGGGCAAGGCGGAATATATGAATATGCCCCCCTCCCCAATTAACGTTCTAGTTAAGCCTCTGATACTATATGTTTAGCAAGCATCGTTTTGACTAGCTAGCGGAAATAGAAAAACATTTCTCATGACATGCAATTGCATCTTCCCAATACATGCATTAAAAGTCGTCTTGTTAAATTTACATTACACGATCTCTGCTTTTACACACTTTTTGTTCACTATTTTTATACTTTACCTTTAGATTTTCGCGAAGACCATAAATGCTAGTAATGACATTTTCATCGTAGTTTGGAAAACATTTGATAGGTAGATTAAAGTTCTTGATGTAACCGTCCGTTAAATAATGTTGTTTTTCATATTGATCATCCACACCTCCAGGCAATCGCATTGCTCCAGCTTGAAAAATAATAAATATTTTTTTAGTTGAAAATTGTAAGATTTTCTTTCATTTCTGCATGTACATGATTAAAGAATTATATATGTAGATGGTCGCCAATATCATATAATACCAAAAAATTCATGTATTCTAGTAATTTTCATAAAATTTTGCATTTTCTAAAAGAAAAGAGTGTAATCTCTCAATCTTTAATCAATGCTTCTCTTTAAAATGACTTTTCTAGATTACTTGATTATGAAAAAACTGTTTCATTAAAGTGTATAACCTGTAGATTTAAAAATTCGTAGAATATATTTTTAGTTCTGTGTCTTCCAACACGACAATGACGTCAAACACACACATAAGAATATTTTTTTGAAAACACCCCACAGATAAAAAGGTTTGTGTGATTCAATGCCCAACACAATCATCAGATTTGGCACTAAAGAATATAGGCACAACTCAGGGGAGTTGGAAGCGGAGAAACAATGAAGGCTATAAGACCCTCCTAACTTTTCTTGAAAGGACAGCACCCCTTACTCATAACATTAAAACAGTAAAATTCCTATGAAAGATACAAGTGTCTTTTGAATATAAAACATACGTATGTTTATTGCGGCCTGGTAGACTTCAAAAAAATCTCGCAGAAATTTTTTGGGATTTCCCTTAATAGCATATTTTGTTGTTAACATCACCTGATGAGACAGAAAATGGTAATAAAACAGCTATTTTCATTTTCCTATATGACACTGATGGCATATCATTTACTTTATTATATTATGTTTTACATTTGCATGCTTGTCTAAAAACTTTCTAAAAATGAGAAACACCTTGTAGGGTGCTTAACAATGTTGAATTCTTTGATTTTTAAATTGATAAAGCGAACATGCAAAAATGCTACTTATAATTTTTAGGAGGCCTCCTCCTATTTTTATTTAACTAAGGAGTTTGACAAGCAACTGAAAACTATCAATTGATAGTGAAATTTTTCGAATGCTTGGAAACAGATGGAATGAATAACATAAAAAGAGAGTAGAAAAGATACCTAGTTGTTGAATCTTTCACAGAAGCATAAGCTCACCACATCATTACTTCAGCTATTCGTTGAAATTTTTTGTTGTTTTATGTTTGATTCAATTTGTAGTTGACAAACGATTTTTGAATTATTTATTCTTTAAAGTAAACTTTTTTATTTCTATGGAAGAGTTTTCGATGGGCGTGGGTGGGGGTATCATTTGTTATTCACTTACTGCACGTTACAGCTAGAACGATTGGAAGTATTGTTTAAGAAAGCATTCGCTGTATTGGAATTTTTACCGTCGAAAGCAAGAAGTTAATCAGCTAATATCGTTTTAATGATTACCATGTTTATACAAAATAAGTTGCTGTTTTTAGTCATATTTTATCAGCCAGTAACAGTCGTCGTTTATTCAATGTGGCTTCTGGTTGACACACGCATGCCAGGTATATTTCCTAGTTGTGCTGTTGTCTGCTGTTCTAGCTATGGGAGGGCAGCAATTTTACAGTTCTGTGAAAAAACTGTGGCAAAGCTTTTGAATTTATGATTTATGAATGAAATAGCTTTAATTTTACCAGACAACTTTAATGAGCGAGTTTATCCATACCTTCTGCATACAAACCAGACGCAAGACCGCTTTCTTCACCATACGTAAATATTCTTCCTCCATAACGGTCTGTTTGCTCTAGAATTTTCACAGAAAGACCAGCTTTTTTTAATTCATACGCTGCACTTAGACCTGCCATTCCTGCACCAACTATAATGACGTCACTGATCTTTTCATCTTCAATATCATTGATTATCGATCTTGGATGTTTTGATTCCACCGGTTTGTATCCGTAACGATTATAAGCTTTTCGCAAACCTTCATCTTGGATACATTTCAGAAACGTTTTGATGCAATCACTGTGCTGAATTGGAATTTGTTTATTTTTCGGAATTTTCGCAGGTTCATCATTTTTCCAAAATCTTTTGTGGTTTTTAAGATAATCTGACGCCATTGTAGAACATGAAAACTTAAACAACTACAATGTACATTGAGTTGAATAAATTAGATGTGTAATAAATGTAGCATTGTATGACTGATCTTAAGAATTTACTTTCTTTACTTGATTTTACTTGTAGATTGAAGATTTTTGGCCGAAAAACAACTGAAACAAAAAAAGACCACATGCCCTAATATCTGTGTTACAAAAACATGTTGATCAAAAGGCGAATGCAATTTTAATTTGTTGAGATATGAACATCAAACGAAAACATATAAACAAAACAGTATTTTGCATAATTAATTAAGTAGATATGACATATGCCATATCACATGAAGATCGTCATTATAATATCGTTGCTCGTTACATTTGCTTTGTTTCTCTATAAAATCTATATTATACTTTACATAATCCGAATGTTATTACCGACTTACGAATAATTTAACATGATTAACAATAGAATTTTATCCGAAATACGTTTTTTATTAAAAAAAATGAATTGCAAGCTGTTATAGTCTGGTATTTAAAGGGGAACTCCACCCAAAAATAATGTTGGTCTTAAAAGTTCCATTTTTATGCAAAGGTTACTATATTTTTGAAATTTTTACATCAGCTATTTTATTTTTGACAAAATCGTGTCTTCAAGTGCGCTATTTGAGCTGTTTTGAGACTTAGCAGCGTGGGCACAGAAAGCGTCAGCGGAAATTATTTTGACGTCATATCGTCAAACCGATTTGGAGTTGAGTTTACAACAAAGTAAAATAATAACGCACAGCCTAGCACAAAAACAAAACAATCGCTTATAATGGCTTTTTTGGAAGAACCTCGGCCTAATTCACCAATCGATAGTGAAATGGAAGACAATCCAACAAACAATATTCGGCCATATCAGTTTGAGCCCGAATGGCCGGCTGATGAACACGAAGAAGCTCACCAGTTTGAGGATAACGAAGAACAGGAATTTTGTATATTGACGATGAATCTCGGCGCGACAATCTTGAATGGTGGGTAGTAAAATGTTATATTATTCTAGACCATTGTTTCTATCTCAAAAGTACGTTTTCAGTTTTTGAAGTTGACCACGTCCACACACACATAATACTTTAGATTTTAAAGTTTTTATTGTAAGATACAATTTTTATTGAAGTTTTGACATTTACTTTTCAAGATCCTTTCTTTTAACATATTCAGGTGTCAATGTGGTAACTGCCAAATAATGGATAATAACGAGGAATGTTTATGCTGCAAAGAGATTTCCAATATTTGTGACAAAAATTTAGAGGCAGTAGAAACGAATGAGACCACCGAAGTCCCTTTCTGCATTACACAACATCCTGGTTTTGAGCCTGTTTGTCTTAATAGGTGGGTTTTACAAACAGCTTGGTACCAGTACAAGCAGCAATATGAGGTAGCATATGATGGGCCGAGGACAAACTGTACCGCCATATTGCATATAGACAGTTGGCTAGATGGTGCTGGGGTGTCTTGGGTAGAAGTGAGATTCATCTTGCCATCATGTGCACTCGCATTAGAGAAACATTTCCTCCACCTGGCCTTGCAGAGGAATTTCAATTTGAAGGCTTTCACTATGTTGATGAATGAAGTATTTTATTATGATATAGGTATATACCCATTACAATTACTTTGTATGTCAATATTAAAGTGGCATAGCCAGCTCATTTATAGGTCATGCTATGCACATTTATTATTATTAATTTATTACAAAAAAAAAAACAGATTTACAAAGAAATGATTATAAATGTGGCTTGGCTATTACACTGGTTATAATATAACTATAATTAATTACATGAATAGTTTGTGTAATGCAGTGGTGAAACTAGCTATAGCAAAAGGTTTTGCTATGTTAATATTTAAGAATGAACATTTTTTTAAGTAGTACAAAAGTTGTCTTCACTGATTCAACATCATATTATATGGGTATGGCAAAACCTATTGCCATAGCTAACATCACCACTGACATTTTATGCAAATCTAGACTGATGTTCCTTTACAAGTACTTCTTTCCTGGGTGGACATGATTTAGAAATGTTCTTTGGAAGATTCTTGCCATGATGTACAAGTTCAATCTCCTCAGTTTTGCATGCATTCACAACCTCCGCAAGTAGTTTATCAATGTACTGGTACTCTTTCTTTTCTTTCATTGCTTTTACAACCCTTTGTTTGTCCCTGACTTAATGACTGCTTTATCATGTTTAATATTGTTGTTGTGATCTAATGCTGCTAACTGAGTGCGGGCTACCATCCCAGGAAATGAAAAATGCTCTCGCTTTGGGCAGGTCTTTTAGAAGCCTCTTGTCACATATCACCTTCTCTGCAGCGATATATGCTTGTGAAGTAGGAGATAACCACTTCTTCTGTTTTGTTTCTTTTTCTGTTAATTGTTGGTGGCAACATTGATGAAAATATGTGTTCCCCATCCAGAAATGCTTGTTGGAAATGTGGTTAAGGACAGACTTCCATTTTCCCACCAATTCTTCTGCATTCTTGTTACAGCTTGCAGAGCACCACCAAAGATGATTAGAAATGGACTTAATCCAATGGGTCAAGTCATCATTTCCTTAATGTTAGCCTTCTTTGTTAGTTTTTGTGACAGATTTAGACAAATGCCACACATCATATTGGTGATCAATATGAGGGTGTTTGTTTTCAACCTCTGCATCCACAGTATTCAGCATCGACAGTGTAGTTTGGACTTCCATGGCATGTAAACTCCTCACAACAAATGAACACTGTGTTGATGCATCTTTGGTTTGTGGCTTGCAATAATTAGTTGGCAATGCTTCAGGACTGTCAGACGCACCCAAATCACAACTGTTATTTGCTTCTGGCTCAACCACTGAAAACATTTGTACTTGTGGAGGAACATTGTTCTAAAATATTTGAAAGCTGAAAATAGAAAAATAGAAATATTTAGAATATACTTTAGGCTATAACTTTTCTTGATTAAAATTTAACAAGAAATGCTTTTACTAACTTCCTCCTTGTCTTGGTCAGCCTGACGTTTCTCTGTACGATGCTCGCTAGACAGACGCTTTTTACTGGGTTGAGGGCCAAATGAAAAGATCGATGGTACTGCATCCCGCTTCAGCCGCCTTTTTAAAGGTTGCCATGGTGTAAGTTTCTGTCTTAGGTCCGATTCAAAACAATCGGGAGCAAAGTGCTCGCTGCAAACGTAACAGTATTGGAGAGGAAGTAGATTTTCTCTCCGTATTCGAGCAATCCATTATTATACAATTATGTACAATAATTAGGAAACTATAAGTTCATACTTTGCGTCAAGGAAACTACAACTTAATTCTATGCACGAAAGGCTATTTTTACAATGGTTTTATGTAGGATTATTTTCTAACCGTAATGAGTTACACAACCATGTTTATTATTATTCAATGTTTATTAAGGGCAATAGATTGTTTTCACATCAGTGGAAACTGTTGTTAAGGTTGAATTCGGAGGACAAGCAAACGGCATTACGCACAGTTTCCACACAAAGAAACCTTCGTATTTTTTAAAAAATAATATTAATCGACATTCAAGTTCTATATGTAGTGCGGAAACTGTGCGTAATGGCCTTTATGGATGTGAAACCGTTCTATTAAAACAGAATACAAATAACCAGCTCAATACTTGCATGTAAGCTATAAAAGTTGCTTGTGTATATACCTACGAATAAAAAATTCTGACATTTCGAAAAGAAACATTTTGTGATTAGGAGAAGCATTTTGACGCAAGTTTATTATGACTGTGCAATGACTTTACATAAAGCTTTGAGGAGCAATTGACGATATGACGTCAATACAAGCCGCTGACATATTTCTGCTCCCACGCACCGGATGCCCTAGTTGCAGCATTTCAACGCATTTTTTGTGAAAATATTGAATCAAACAAACAAAAAAATTGCCGCATATTTATTTTCACGGGACAGACAAAGTTTTAAGACCAACATTATTTTTGGGTGGAGTTCCCCTTTAAGTATATGTTACTGATGATACTGAGAAAATCGCTTTTGAGTGGTTAGGTTAGGCTAAATGAGCGTTTACCACTGAAAACATGTCTCGCAAATGAATATTAATTTCGATGAAATCATATACATTATTTACTTTCATAATCATGAAATCATACACATGTACTTTCATAACAATGATTATCCTTTTCTCTCATTCAATAATGATATTTAAAACGTCAAAAGATTAATTTTGGATCTCTTCATTTTTCAGGTTAATACTGTGGATATATATTTCTTGACTTGCAATTCAACCATGTTGGTGGTATGATACAAAAAAATATTTTATCAGTGCTATTGCTGCCACCAGCCGACGTGGTCGAGCAACATAGTTTGATAAATCTCAAGAGAACGGTTGCAAGTCAAGAATGCAGTTCAAATACGGCCAAACAATAACCTGTATATAACTGCCGGCAAGTGCATAGTTTCATTTACAAATCGTCCATGTTGATGGCTCATACAAAGACTGCATATAATATCAGATATTGTTGGCACGGCCAACAGCGACATTATTTGGTAAATCCCGAGACTTGATGCGAGTTAAAAAGCCGTGCATGTTTTTCTGTTAAGCTTCAGGTTTGTAAAGCCTTTCACGTTCGAAGCATTATGAGATATGCTGCACTTAATTTGCGCTTGACAAACATACTGTATTCCCATGCATTTATTAGATGTAAGTTCACTCGTGATAAATCTACTAATTTCTATCGTCTGAACATGATTATTGATATCCGTTTCACAAACCTTTAAGTGTTGAAAATAGTGCCAACGATGTAACCAAAATTCAGTATCTACTTCTAATGACAAAAACATAGACAATATTGGTTTTGACAGGCATGCATTGCTTAATCTTTAACACAAAACAGACATTGATAGTGGTAGCAACAAATAAATTAAAATGCTTGATGCTATACCATACTAGGACTATGGTCTTCAATTTTTCTAAAACAGGAATTAATCATGCTTGAGATAAGGTTAAGATGTCTAAAATATGTTGATATTTTTGTTGGAGACACGACCGTGGGTAACAGAACTACATACGTCAACTTTTCACTCAATTTTCAGTGTGTACTGGGCAACATATCATCACATCACTTTAAAGAATGGCAAACTTATCATTTTTCAAGCAATTTGCCAATTTTTTAAGGATTTGCTAATATAAACCGAATTCGAGTAAAATTTTTGTGTATTGATGACCAATATTTTGAGGAAACACATCGCTAACAAAAGTTTTTGTATGCATGTGCTACGTGCGAGCTTTAATCAATTCAACAAGTGGTTTGGCGTCAAAGAAAACAATAATATTGAAATCATGGAACTCTAGTGAAGGAAGCATAATAAACTTATTCCGATGAATGCAAAAAACCTGGCGATTTCACTTTTTTTTGAAAGTGGAAATTTCTGAAAGAACAGGAATTAAGAGTGAATCATATGTACGTTAACTCACCTTTGTTATTTATTGAATTGGTCTGTTGATTTTTTTAAATGATAACATTTCTTTGCATTTAAGAATGTCAAGTTTAAAAAAAATAGTTCGATTTTGTACGATAGACCGCAATAAATACACCCTCGAATCAGGGGCGGATCTAGGGGTAGGCACCATAGGCAAGTGCCTATGGTGAAATTACCAAAATATACTTCGACTTAGATTCGATACGATTTTATCGAATTATGAAACTATGAATAGCACTTTATCGCAGTCAAATCATCTGACTTTTGTTTAGAAATGTTGTTCAATTAAAAGACGTAATTTTGATATGAATCGTAGTCCAGATGCGTATGATTATCAATAAAGCTCCGTGTCGTTAGGCAAAGCAGCCATTTTGCCTAAGTCAAGAAGGCGATCTAGCCATTTGACTGGTTGTTAGCAATTTGCCTAAACAAGATGAATTTGCCTAACTTGACATCGTGTATAGGTATTTTGATTGGGCAATTTTTTGCAACCGTATGCTTTCATTGGTCAATTTTTTTTGCCTAACTTGAGCAATTCCAACCAATCATTGCTGTTGATAAGCATAGTTGAGCTAGGCAAATTAGGCAATTGAAAATTAACATACACTCGTATTGTTTCTGAACAGCCTCTGTGCTCAGTTTACGGTTTTGTGATATTTTATAATGTCTTCATTGTGTTGTGGTAATTCATACGAGACTGCTCAGTCTGCGTTGGCCAAAAACGATTTAAAATGCCTTAATGAGCTTTATTCTCGTTTATTGGTCGACGTTCGACCTATGTTTACTAACGAGCAGCTGTTAGATAGAATTTATGACCCCGACCATACTCTGTGTCGAAATTTTGGAGCTGAAATATATGTGCCAAAGCACGCTCATGACGGAAAGACTTGTACTGCAATAAGGTAAATATATTATAATTATATATATCGTATTGTAGTATTTATATATACGTGTAAAATGGTTAAATCTCAATTTCGCTAGGCTATATCTTTGTCTACAGTCAGCAATTCATTCATACAATGCAATCAATCTACCAAACAAAATATTAATTTCTTTTCTTGAATATTTTTTAAGATCTGAAGCTTCTGGCAATTGCCTCTACAGTTCAGCTTCCCTAGTTCTGGTAGGTAACAATGCATTGGTCCCTACTTTGAATTTTAACATCGCTTGAGCTATTTATTCATGCTGCTTTTATGCTCAACACCCATGCTTTTTGTCTGTTATAAGTGAGCACAGTGATTACTTTGCCCAAAGCTTAAACAATCTTTTGCCTTTGTCAGTGTCTAAAGAATGTTTAGACACTGGATATACAACAGATGAACTGGTAAAACAGGAGGCTATTTTAAATTGTAATGACCAGAAATGGTCATCTTTTCTTTGTATTTTGGGCCTATCTTCTGTTTTAGGTAGAAAAATTCATACTTTTATCCTGATTCTGGTGAAAGTAGATATAAATTGTTATTTAATCGTATTGTTCAGCCCCGGTTATTAAGCCAAAGAGGTTTGGATGCTATTAATATTTTGTTTTGTCATGAAGGATCTGTACAACCAGGTGAGACTTTTCAGTCTAATCATTTTGTGCCTCTCATTTTCCATGCCCACAGGTTGAAGCGAAAATTGTCTAATTCCTGTACACAGTCTAATTCTAGCAGCTCAACAACAGAGAAACGAAAATTTGTCAAAATTTTTCCAAATATTGCACCAAAAACAGTTGACATTTCAAATTTTTTTACTTCAACTAATAGGCCTGCTGCCCAACCAACTTTTAAAAGGATGCCCAATGAGAGTTTTTCTTCTGCTGCAGCTCTTGCTCAGACATTAAATAAAGCCAATAGTCTTTTGCTTCACACATCATCCAGGAACTATTGCCTGGTATTCCAACTTCTGGTGATATGCAACCTGCTGTTTTAACCCATAATTTTGATGTTTCCTTGTATAGGGAGAAAGTTAAGGGTATGGATAATTCTGAAATATGTCATTTGATAAAAATGTATATAAACCAGATAAAAGTATCATTTTCCTAAATCTAATGGCAGATCATTTAGGCATGATTGGCTAGACCAGCATGAATGGCTTTGCTATTCACCTTCACAAAATGGTGCGTATTGTCTATCGTGTGTTGTTTGGCAATAGATTCCCAGGCAAGGCCAGTAAAGTAAAAAAGTTGTTTACTGAACCTCTTCAAGATTGGAAGAATGCTAAATGCTCTTTCACTCAACATGCTGGAAAAAGTAAAGGGAGGGAAGTCGGTTTGCATGCATCCACATCACCAATTTTTGATGCTTTGCGTTCCCAAATATCAGGTACTCTGCAGCCTATCGAGATGATCATGGATGCTGGTATCAAGAAAGAAATAGAACAGAATAGGGAAATACTATCTCCAATTATTGATTCTGTCATTTTTTGTGGACGTCTAGGTTTACCTCTTCGTGGGCATCGTGATGATTCCAAGTATCACCCTACTGTTGGTTGTTATTCATCTGGAGGGTTGGTAATTTCATTGAAACACTCAATTATGGAGTTAGGAGAGGGGATAAAGTTTTAGAAAATCATTTAAAGAATTGTGGTAAGAATAGAAGTTATATTTCTAAAACAAGTCAAAATAAAATCATTAAATGTTGTGGCCAGGTAATCAGTAATCAGATTATTTCTGATATCAAAAAAAGTAAGTTTTTTTCTGTTATTGCTGATGAAGCATCTGATTCTTCACATAAAGAACAAATGTCTCTTGTTTTGCGCTTTGTTGATACCGATATGAATATCAGGGAAGAATTCATTTCATTTCTTTTTTGTAAGTGGGGACTAAGTGGTGCTCAACTTGCCAAGCTACTTTTAGAGGCTCTAAAGGAACTGACTTTATCAATAGATGATTGTAGGGGGCAAGGTTATGATGGGGCTGGTTCAGTTGCTGTTTGCACTAATGGTCTAGCAGCTCAACTTTTAAAGCTTAACCCAAAGGCTCTTTATACACACTGCTATAGTCATAGGTTAAACTTATCCAATTGCGATTCTTTGAGTATACGTGTTGTCAATGATATGTTGAAACATGTTAACAATGCCACTAGTTTTATTAAAATTTCCCAAACTCGCAATATTCCTTTGAAAAACATATACGTAATTCAGAAACAAACTCGAAAAAGACTAGATTAACAGACGTTTGCAAAACTAGATGGGTAGAACGTATCGAAGGTTTAGATACATTCCAAGAGCTTTTTGTACCTGTATACACCACCCTTAACGATATGTCTGAAAATCTAGATGGTGAGTTCAAACCGTCGCTTCAGTCTGATGCCTCATCTTTGTTTCAACTTATTGACAGGTTTGATTTCGTCGTTGCTTTAGTTATCACGAGAAATATTCTTGATTCAACTCTTCCAGTAACACAGTTATTACAGGGTAAGAGTATCGATATAATGGATGGTATTCATTTAATTTCAACTTTGAAAACTGAGGTGGTGAACATGAGGAATTCCTCTGATTTTTATCATGACACCTGGTATGACGAAGCGCTTGAACTGGCAGCAAAAGTTGGCATTGAAGAATGGAAACCAAGAACAGTGCGCAAACAAACGACCAGGAAAATATTCCCCACACAACCATTTCTGAGTATTATAAACGTGCAATTACTCTTCCTCTACTAGATCATTTGCAATCTTCTTTAGAATCACGATTCGACCTTGAGAGTGTGAATGTCTATAAAGGCCTTAGCATTGTACCGACGAAAATGATGTCCATGACAAGAGATGGGGTGGATTGGAAAGAGCCATTCAAAACTGTGGCTAACTTTTATTATGATGATTTGCCAAATCCTTTGGCCTTAGATGCTGAACTTAGGTTGTGGTACACTTATTGGGAGACCCACTGCGGCCTCCTTCCTGATAACATTGCCCAGACTTTAAAATCTGTTCATTTCGCCGGATTTGAAAACATTAAAATTTTACTACGTATTTTAGGAACGCTCCCCATTACCTCTTGTGAATGTGAACGATCTATTTCTTCCCTTAGGACACTTAAAAACTATCAGCGAAGTACCATGGTTGGGGAACGCTTAAATGGTTTGGCCTTGATGCAAATTCATCAGGAAATTGTACCAGATATTGGTGAGGTTATTAATACTTTTGCTGTTGGAAATACAAGGCTAAAATTTGCATGAATTTATTCATATCCTAGTTTTTTATTTTGTTGAAATGTCCATATGTTAACCATTTATTGTGCGTTGTACACAATAGTAACGTCAATAGAATTTGCATCAAACTAATAGCTCGCCCGATAAAGGTTTTTTTCCCTATATACATTCCAATCTTAAAACTGCTGAGTACGTGTATGGTACTCGGCCGTTGTCGACATAAATTTACTTTCACAAAATTGTTAAGCATAAATAGAATAATTTTTCCTTACACCAAATTTTAGTCTTCACAAAGACTCTTTATACAAAGCTCTATTTTGACTATTACATTACATTTACATTCTGCTTATTTGTTGGCAAATGAGAGTGCACATTTTAGGTGGGGGGTAAAGGGTTGGAATTGACTGGGATGGTGTAAGAAACTGAGCAATCTTACATCCATGAAATGTCCCACATAGTCACCCATTTCTAACCAAACTCCTTTTGCTATTTGCTAAAGGTGTGAAAGGCGAGTTTCTGGCGCCTTCAAAAACCAGAGTGCTCATTTTTAGGTGGGGGGTAAAGGGTTGGAATTGACTGGGATGGTGTGAAAAATTGAGCAATATCACATCCATGAAATATCCCATATAGTCACCCATTTCTAACCAAACTCCTTTTCAAAGGTGTGTAGGCGAACTTCTGGCGCCATAACCAGTCTGCTTAATTCGGCTCTCACAGGGCTGTCCATGCCGGATCACGATTTTTTGTTTTGCGTTAAAGTGTTCCTAGGCATGCTGATGAGCCCTGATATGGGGCGAAACAGTCTTGTGTGCATTCAATATTCTGAATAGTGAAAATCAACGACCTTGTGATATGTAAGTATAAATATACAATGTTTTTATGTATTTATACGATTGAGATCTACAAGATTCTGCATAGCTGAATGATTAGACTGTTTGATTTAAACAATTTATCGAAAGCATAAATAGTGTAGTATGTTTTGCAAAGTATGACGTCATAGGTTTAGCACTGAATGACGTCATAATGTTTTGCCTATGGTATCCAAAATCCTAGATCCGCCCCTGCCTCGAATATAACCATAAGGTTAGAGTTATATTTACAATTGAGCATTTTATCGGACATTCTGCCTATTCTGATAAGATGAATAATTATATACCGGCATCAAACAATTAAAGCATAAAATTTTGTAAGCATAAATGTATTGCTTCTTAAAGGATATTTCTTGTAAGATACTCGTTAATTTTTTTCTTCATTCCTGTGAAACTACGTTATACAATAAGTACCTATTTTAATAAATTATACAAATGACTTATTTCATAAGGGTAAAAGATAATAAAATTTATAGAGGAAGTTCGTAAGAGCAATTATGATGAAGTATATTTTTTTAGTTTTCCGGCGAGTTCAAAACATTGTAAATGTTCACTTGCCAAAGTCCGTATTCCAACATCTAAAAATTTCATTTGACGTAGTAACACTTTTTAATTTACGCAAAGAAAAAACAAAAATCTCATCATAGGTAAGGATATTCTTTGCTAAAATGATCAAGAGTTAGCTTTGTTTGTAAAATCTGTTACTAATAATCGCTCAAATATCCTTTCAACTTATACATTTTCTGACCGCCTTTGTAGCTTAAGCCCTTAAAAACAGTTTTTGGTATACGACAACCGACGTTTTTACATCAGCTTTGCTACTCTTACGCTTTGTTTGAGTAAGCTTCCTGTGGTTATTTTTGAAAAATTGACTTCCCTACATGCTTCACTTGGGGTATAAAGCAAAGCGGTTTGCTGTCACAAGTTGCAGTCTTGCAGACATTGGCAGAAGAAGGAGAAAGAGAAACATCTAAAACAATTGTGGAGACATTTTACTGAGTCGAACAAAGCTAACTTCTAAGTAAAATAAAGATAAATATTGATGCATACATACTTCACCATTTGTATAAGCTCATGTCATCGTATATCTAGCCACATATAGATTTTATTGAATATCAATCAATTAAGTATTTCTCTATTGCTCAATAATGTCATGATAGATTATATTTGTTATATTTGCAAAATTTTTTTAAAATCTGTGTTTGTATAGTGACACCTAGACGAATAAGTAAAATACCAAAACAACGTTTATAGCTCTTTAACTAAGTATATATCGATTTAAGCACACATTTAGCCAATATCTTCTTTGAGTTCACGAAATGTAAGACTAAGTGGCATACAAATTTAAAGAATTACTTCTTTCAAAAAACCTCCAGTTCAAATAAGCCAATCCGTGAGAAGAAGCTCTTACATCAACATAAAAACACTGATCATTATTAAAAGTCAAGTTACCTAATCAACGTACACAGAAACAGTGTTTTAAACAAATCTTGTTTCACACTAAATGAAATAGGGTGCGCATGTAACTATTCGTTCTCAGATAAAGTAGTTGATTGCTAACTATCTCTGTTATACTTATTTTAATCCTGTACGATTTCTACAGCTGTTTAGCTACAAACATTGAAAATTAGCAATAAAAGCAAAAATTTGACTGTTTGCGTGACTTTTACCCTTTTTCTGACTAATGACAGAATACTTCATTAATCGTTAACTGCTACAAAGCTCAACTTAAAAAGAGCTTAAAAAAACATAAACAGTGAGATGTATTTGCCGCAAGTGCCATAAAGTAGCCAAGCACTATGAACCAAGATCATGCTGCTCCAATTAGATGCACGAATCGTTAAGTATAACAATGAAAACTTAGGCCTTTATCATGCATTATGTTCTATAAATTGCACCAATAAATAAAGACAAAGAGACTTTCCCTTACTCTTTCATTTAAGGAGAAGATATGATCTGATCTCAATAAGAAAAATGTCTATAACTAGGTTTAAGTAACATTTAACGATTTAAACGTCTGCATATTGTCTAGCCTGTTAAATGAAAAGACCTTAAATTTGAAATATAACATTGTCTAGCGTATGATGAAGGACTGGAAAGAAACGCACTAGACGTTTGCCAGCATAATAGTTTAAATTATTGGCAGATAAGATTTTTGTTGGAATCTTTGTCATGCGGTTGTATTAATAATCAATCTGATTGTATGGCTGCCGAAAAATGCTAACATTATCATGTTGTTAGAAAGCACTGATGTAGTGTAACCACGTGTAGACGTAATAAAATATACATGAAGATAACAACATTAGGAGCTTTATTAACATCAGGAACATAGTAACATTATGAACATTAGGAGCCTCGGAGCATTATATAGGGACATTATATCGACGGAACATTATGTAGAATAAATTCGGGCTAAACATAGCAAAACACGCATGGGATTATCGACATGATGTTGATTTTTAGAATACTATTGTTATTGATAAAGGAAAGAACTGTATTGGAAAGACATTACAATCATGGCACACTTCATCAACTCCAAAAGCTTTTGGATACCGTCACATTTTGTTATTAAATGCTAGAGAATAAATAAGAAAAGTTGAAAACAAGCCATCATTTCTTCTATATGTTATCAGTATTATATTATATTGAAACATTGTTGAACATACGGAGAGCAATTGACTGTTGTAGATGTTTTCCACGTTAGTTGCTGTTGTACAATCATTATGAACTGTTTGATGAAGTTTATAGAATAGTCCGTCTATTTTCCAAATTTTAGTCCACCAAATCCAAAACAAAATTTGCTAATAGAATACAACACGCCTGACTTTCAAATTGAGGAGACCACCCGGTCGTGAACAGTGCATGCAAGTCAAGGCATCATTGACTAATAGAAAATATAGTATCAAAGTAGTCCACAGCCCCCCGGTAATTTACAAAAAATGAGTCGCGAGAAGAGCTTCTGGCCAATCAAATAAATGGATATAGTCATCAGATGGTGCGAGGTTTCTGCGCTTAACCACTGCCTCCGTAAACAAGAATGCGTTTCAAATAATAACTTCAGATAAAACTGAAATGCAACTCGGACTTTGTAAAAAAGAAAATACGTAATGACTCATCATTTTGGTGACCTTTGTGCTCAAAATAGATTATTATTTTTTTAGGAAAATACGCATGTCGCATGACTCTTTTGACATACCCTAAATAATTTCCTGATAACAACTGCTGAACATATTTTTTTGTAGTTTTGTCTCCTTCAAATACATAAGTACACACATATGGTCGGCTATTAGCTCCCCCCAAAAAATAACTTAATGGCATTTGTTGCATATTTTGTTCGCTTGTATACTTGAGAAGACGTATTTCAATATTTTTTTGGGCACTCAATATTTTTTCGTGGAAATGGTGAAAGACATATAAATTAATACATTAAAACGAACAGTAACTATTCGTCTGGGTGTTGCCTTTATTTGGAACAACTTCATTTACCTGATATGTTTTAAACATAAGCAGTTTTCCAGTTGCATAGGGTGGAACACATAATTTTATACATTCAAAAAAATGCCACACCCAGTCAATTTCAAAAAACCCCACTTAGAAGGTTTTTAGTCAAATTACAAGGTTCGTGCCAAGAAACTTCATTAAACAGGTTGCGGAAGGAAGCAATATAATGTCAAAACACATCAATGTTGCTCAAATAATTATAATATTGTCAGAATTTTTGAAACATGTCCTGGTGATTGAGTAGTAATTGATGTCTTTAACATATTAAAGATATCTTGTTAACTATGGAAAACGGAGACTTTTAAACTAACTTTAATTTAGGTTGAAGACTTATTAAAAATTTTAAACTAAAGCTGCTCAAAAACTCTAAAAGGAGCTCTTTGTTGATTTTATTGCTAGATTTTAGGAAAGTTTAACTACTTAAGATTTATTAAACAAAACTGAAACGTTTCTATTTAAAGCAAAAGTTTTTTCTGATGTGCTAATGTGCACTTAGTTCATTGAAATATATTTGATTATAACGTTAAACAAAACTATTTCTTTTTTAAGACGTAAGACAGACTCAATTAATGGTATGTCCTCTTATAAACTACTGTGTAAGAATCACTTCCCGTCAAATATATCTTCATGTTAAAAAAATGAATTTATATAAAGGGTGAGGTTACGGAAGCAGTGGCGGATTAAGTCTACGTCAAATATATCTTCATGTTACAAAAACGAACTTACCCAAAGGGTGAGGTTACGGAAGCAGTGGCGGATTAAGATACGTCAAATATATCTTCATGTTATAAAAATAAATTTGCATAAAGGGCGAGGTTACGGGAGCAGTGGCGGATTAAGATTACGTCAAATATATCTTCATGTTAAAAAAATGAATTTACCTAAAGGATGAGGTTACGGAAGCAGTGGCGGATTAAGACTACGTCAAATATATCTTCATATTATAAAAATAAATTTACATAAAGGGCAAGGTTACAGGAGCAGTTGCGGATTAAGACTACGTCAAATATATCTTCATGTTATAAAAACGAACTTACACAAAGGGTGAGGTTACGGAAGCAGTGGCGGATTAAGACTACGTCAAATATATCTTCATGTTATAAAAATGAATTTACACAAATGGTAAGTTTACGGAAGCAGTGGCGGATTAAGACTACGTCAAATATATCTTCATGTTATAAAAATAAATTTACATAAAGGGTGAGGTTACGGAAGCAGTGGCGGATTAAGACTACGTCAAATATATCTTCATGTTAAAAAAATGAATTTACATAAAGGGTGAGGTTACGGAAGCAGTTGCGGATTAAGACTACGCCAAATATATCTTCATGTCACGAAAATGAATTTACATAAAGAGTGAGGTTACGGAAGCAGTGGCGGATTAAGACTACGTCAAATATATCTTCATGTTATAAAAATAAATTTAAATAAAGGGTAAGGTTACGGAAGCAGTGGCGGATTAAGACTACGTCAAATATATCTTCATGTTATAAAAATAAATTGACATAAAGGGTGAGGTTACAGAGGCAGAAAAAAGTTCTTTCCATAAGTCGTTCATAAACTTGAAATGCAGCTTTTAAACCACTTTCCAAAGCACCTTGTATCCACTTCGGGGTAAAAGAAATTCCTTCGCCAGCAAAATGAACGTTTACTATAGGCTCCCATGAATACCTAATTTTAAATAAAAATATAATATATACCAATGTTTCTTTTCAAATTGTAAATTGTTATTTTAGGAAAATAAAGGTTTGAGTAAAAATTGAAGAAGATAACATAGATAAACGAAAATTATCCATAAAATGTTATAAGTTGTATTTGACCTTATTTCGAAGTATATAAAAAACAACAATTTTACAGAGATTTTTGTGAAAAACATTGAAAAAAATGCGACGAGCATTTTTACAGTATTATCTTATAAAAAATAATCTCGTTTCTTAACCTGTCACTTCAATTAAAGAATTATGCGTTACCCCATATCGTGCACACCTTATATTTTTGTGTTAAGCAGCTTTCATTCTTCCATACGCTCCTTGATAAGATGGCTGGTTATACCAAGCATGGACAATACACGTTGTCACCATGTCTTCTTTGAATGCCGGATGGATTTCTACGAGTTGTTTCATCACCTTTTGTTTCACTTGCTCTTCTTTCATAGATCCAAAAAGCAGAGCTTCATTTTTCCAAGTGTAGATCAAAACAAGTCCTTCTTTTGTGTTGGGATCTTCCGGAGTGAGATAATGAATCTGACCTATGGGAAGGTTTGTCTTAGAAAAACCACCTTTGATTCCTTCATTTTCCCAGAATCTCTGTTTGGTCTGAATATAAACTTTTGTTGATTGCACAATAGAAATATCTTCCATAGCTTCAACATTTTTCTCATCGCCAACTGGGAGTCATCATTATGAAGCTTTGGTTTGAAACTTATTTGACGCAAAGTATTTATTGGGATGGCAACAATTACTGCCTAAACAAAAATCAAACAGTTTTCAAAGGTTTTGCTTAGCTTTTATTCTTAAAAATCAGGAAAGTGCATATAAAACTCTTAGGTGCATATAAAACGGTATATGTATTTTTTACAGACTATCCATATCAATGAAATTGAAAATTATTGAGTTAAACAGACCTTTGAAAATTGTCCTGGTGATTGACAAGTATAACCAGTCCTAAAAATTACTGAAAACTACAATTAATAAGATAGCTATAATGTAAATGACACAATACGTTTGGGGAGACTTCTCATTAGGTGGCAACCAATGGTTACGATTTTATCTTGCCAGGTGCTAAATTTTAGGTCTGTATAGTGTCACGTTACGTCAAATATATTCTTCAGGTATGAAAATTCAGTTCTTAGTGGAACATCAAAGCAAACAACTACTTTTGGTAAAGTTTCAGGAGACTTGGGAGATAGTAAGATTTCAGAAAACAGGCAATTAAAGATGTCCCAATGGAGACGACCTACAGACCCCACTAAATCCCTAAGAAGAGCGGGTTCGCGTTGAAATTATATTCTAAAAGCTAATCCATTTACCGTGAATTAAGCTAAACGCAACACTCAACTATTTTTTTGTTTGTTGCGTGATTTTAAGCAATAGGTGCAAACGCGCTCAACTTGTCGAGCTTTAAAATCCTGGGATAACATGCAGTTCAGTGAACAGCTAAAAATTTTTCATCCCGAGCCATTATACAGCATATGCACTTTACAGTGCGCATGTTCCAAAATAGTAAAGAATGCTGCTCAAATGCACTGAACGATGTTGAGATACGCTTCGGGGTTCAAAGAGCTATAGAGTTAATTTAAAAGCTGTAAACTGAAGTACTATTGATTTTTCCTAAGACGACAAACAATTAGCAAAAGCAGAGTACAAATCCTGTAAAACCAGACGGATAATGTAATCCCATATGAAGCGAACAAAAAGCAAAGGCAGACTGCCTCAGACCAGTAGTAAGAATATCGAAAAGCAAATGTTTGTCACAATTGAGGCCTTATAACTATTATATACAAAGTAGGAAAAATTGTAGCTATTTGAAAAGAAATATTGCACAGAAACCAGCCATACATTTTTGAAAAAAGTGAAAAAGACCAACAAAATAGAAGTATCAACTATCCTTAAACTATTTATACTCGATGTTCAATTTACTAACCTCTCGTACCTTCGCATTATACACACTTGGCGTACCGTTACTTGAATAACACGACACCTCAACGAGATCTTTCAGAGGATACTCATCTTGATACCAGTAATTTATTTCGAAAACCTGTTTCTTGTATTCTATGTCATCCGTACTCAATCCTTCATCGTTTAAAAACATTCTCGGCAAACTATGCATCACTCCTTTCAAGCAATGCATTTCACGAGAACACCATTTTCCCAGTTCAAAATTAAGATAGGATCCCAGTGACTGATCAAGCTGCTCCGTATAGCAAAATACAGAATAACCACGAACAGCATCATTAGACCATGGCAAAAGATTTCCAAGTTTAACTAAATCCAAGTCTGCTTGATCTTCAACAGGTACTTTAGCTTTGATTACCTCGATATTACTTTCAAGAAAGCTTTCCAACGTAAACTGACTCCAGATTTTAATCCAACGTCCCCATGCATTGACTTGATCATGAACACTTTCTCATTTCGACAACCAAGTGTAAAGCTGGTCTGTAACAGCACCGATTGTTTCATCATAATATTTTTCTGCAAAAAAAATGGAGGAAGTTTACTAAGCCCTTAGCTAATAGCCGAGTGCGAGGTCTTTACGTAGAATTATCCGACCGAGGTCTTTATGCACAGACCGAATCCGCAGGGCGAAATTTGTACAAAAAGACAGGGGTCTGATATTTCTAAGCAAAGACCGAAAAAGCGAGGTTATTAAAAAGTTGATTATATGGCATTATTTGACCTGAAACGAAGTTGCTTTCTTTCTCGTCTTAGCTGTTTTGCTTCGACTCACATTCGCAATTTTTTTTTTTTGCTTCGTTTTTTTTTTGATTTTGCTGTTTGATTTACAAAGTTCGTTTCCATTTGATTGTAAAATTACGCATTTTGGAAGGTGGCCCATTACGTAAAATAATGGACCGACAAAAATGTTTCTGAGCGAAACAAAGCGCGCCATTTTGCTGGAAGTGACGCTTGGCATGTATAATAACTTCAATTAATCATGATTAAATGTCATTGCTCTCAATTTACAGAAAATGTCTTCCAAGATTTCTAATTTCCAGAAAAATTCTTGCAAGAATAAAATAAAAAAATATGGCGATTTTCAGCAAAAATAGGTTTTTAATAAAATTGAAGAAATTAAAGTCTCGTTACACTTACCAACATCCAAAATATCGTCTTTTAAGGCATTATTCATGCCATCTTTCCAGTTTGGCCAAATGTTGTCAAAATGCTTCTCAGCCCAAACTGCAATGTGAAAACAGGCCGAACGTGAAGTGGTTAATTTATTATCCGATAATGATTTTTTTGGTCACCTAACTCTCCTTTCTTTGCAAAACCTGTCGACACTACCTACACAATTTCTTGAAATTGAACTGCTTTATTACAAACTTCATATTTAAAGAACTTTTTTGCGCCATGCTTGCAAAGTATTTAATTGTTGCAATAATTCATTTGTTTTATACACTTCACCTTCAGATTTCTCGTGAAACCCATAGATGCAGGTAATGACATTTTTGTCAAAGTTAGGAAAAGGTTTTATGGACAGATTGAAACTTTTGATGTAACCGTCCGCCAAAAAATGCGGTCTGTCTGAATGATCATTAGCATCATCGGGAAATCGCATAGCCCCCACTAAAAATAGAACAGTTCATTTTTTTCAAAACTGTAAGATTCGATGCTAAAATTTTTCTTAATATTCTGAGGACATTCATTAACTAGAATATCAAAGTTTTTAAATTTTAAAGTTTTTAATGGTTAACATATTTTAGCGTATGTGTAAGTTACGTAACTTGCTCATACATGCTCTAGTATACTTCATCATTACTAGATGAAAGACTGACCATGTCACTAGAGTCTTATCACTCTCGACATTAAACAAAAGACAATGTTTTGCACTATCTAATTTGTGTTTGAAACAAATGATAAGAGAAAAATACCAATGAAAGTAACAGTTATTTTTTGGCGTGTTGATGACACAAGTCCTAACCTTAAAATGAAAAAAGGTTGTTGTCACGAAAGCATAAAAAGGGGGCAGTTCAGCAATGGAAAAAACTATGGTCTGATCAATCAAAATTTCATTTGTTTTGTTCATATGAGTTATTTGTCGTGCCTATAAGTAGTTTAGCATATGGGAGATTCTGTGACGATATTGTGGTTTTTGGGGCATTTTGGGGAAGGAAAATCGGCTGACTTTGCAGAAATGCATACAATCTTAGAAAAGAAGCAATACCACTCTATTTTGCAACGAGACACAAATACATCTGGAAGAAGAATCATAGAAAATTACTTCATTGCACAGCAGAACAGTGACCAAAAATAAACGCACTTCTACAAATCCCATGTAGCTCAATAGCCACACAAAGATATTTGGGTCATAAAAAACTCCTTTACCACAAGTCCTTTCGTATTCAAAATGTATAGACGAACCGAAAATTCAAAACAAAGCCTTTGAACTTCGTTGTCACAAATTTCACATAAAAGACCAAATTGCTGTGTACATGTTTTGTATTTTCGACTACATTTGGGATAGTTGTTTTGATAGTTAAAAATGATATAGCTAAACATCTAATGACAAAACGGAATTATAAACAGTTATGAATTGGGTGGATTAACATTCTTGCCAAATTAAAGTTCTATTGAACTGTGGGATTGTTTATAAAAATATGGACGACATGAAATAATTATAAATTCAAGCAAACACCCACTACGGAACAAGTTTATCCATACCTTCTGCATACAGACCAGACGCAAGACCACTCTCTTTACCATACGTAAAATTCTTCCCCATAACGGTCCGTTTGCTCTAGAATTTTCACAGAAAGACCAGCTTTTTTCAATTCATACGCTGCACTTAAACCTGCCATTCCTGCACCAACAATAATGACGTCACTGATTTTTTCATCTTCAGTATAGCATTGACAACATATCTTGGAGGTTGTGTTTCCCGTGGATCATATCCGTAACGATTGTAAGCTGTTTGCAAACCTTCCTCTTGAATACATTTCAGAAACGTTTTGATTAATTCACTTAGCTGAATTGGAACTTGATTATTTTCAGGACGTTTTAAAGAATTGTCATTTTCCCAAAATCTTTTACGACTTTTAAGATATTCTGACGCCATGGTGTACTTCTTGATTGGACAAAATAAAGAGTTTTAATGACTAATGAGTGCAAGGATACTTATTACTTTATGCATATTGGAAGTATACATACGGGACGAAAATTTAGTTTTTTGTTAATTGATCGTCATTTTTAATTATCGAATAACCACAATAAAATGAGTGCACTGATTGGTCTATACTTGGGTTATTATTAGCTGTGGAAAATAGATCTGAGCTAAAGTCATTAAGCCGAAAAACAAATCATTAAGTCTCTTGTACGCAAACTTAGATTTTACCCGCCATAAAACGAACAGAATGCTAGTAAAAAAATCTTTGGGGGGCATTTTACGTTTGGTTTGAGCTTCAACCAATTCTTATTTGGTATTGCATATGTTACAATGTGACGTAGAATTTCCGTAGCAGAACTGACAATATATTTTGTATATGATCAAGTGACGTTTCTCGTGGTTTTCTGAAGACGCTCTCAATCGTTTTCTCGCTAAACAGGTACACCTCAAACACATCCGAGTGTTCAATTCAGTAAACATTTTGTAACATTTAACCAATTGAACACTCTTCATGTTGGATGTTTGCCTGATACAACGTCATGGCACGAAAAAAACAATTCCTGTACCCACGCAAGTTTAGTCTCGACTACCACTTGAAATGGACCCGTTTCATTAAAATATCGACACTTCAAAAAAATTTTGCTTTTATTTGCCATACATGCTTTTTCTAGTCGAGTATGGATTGTTTGTTACCTAGCGATACCAGAATTTATGTTGAAACCACTCTAGGAAAGGGAAACGGCGAGTCAGCAACTTACTCATTAGTCCTTGTTAGAAAAACTTCAGTCAAGAGCATTTAAAAATGGCTTAACAATTCGTGTGTAAAACCAGGAGAGATTGTTGATTTTGCTATGAAATAACTGCCCAGCTGGGATCTCCACGTTTATTCAATTAAGAAATACATGGCAAAGTTAATACTTCAACAAAAATGTATTGCCAACAATGCATCAATTAATCTCATACTTATCGATAGCTTTATACTAACTCTCAAGGTAAACAAAAGTTTCTACAGAAGAGAAGTGATTAATCTACTACGTCTGGCATTGGATCCTCCCACCCCACCCCTCCTCCATCCCAATTCAAACGATTGCTGTACTTTTAGACTTAATAAAATGAATATCAAAAGTACACGACAAGATTTTAGGCTTTTCTTGTCAAATTCGCCCGGTCACATTTCACCACGAAAAATTGATTTAATTGTTCAAATAGAAAGTGATGGTAAGGTGTTTCCGCGTCTAAATTTCCTTAAGTAATTAGTGCAACAAAGTACAATTTATAAACAAAGAAGAATAAACTTCGAAAAGAAATACACATAAAACATGTTGGTTTCGTTTATTTAAAAAATTTTGAGCGCTGCAAGGCTAAGCGCAAATTGTCGTCAATGAACTTGTTGGAAAATCACACCCTCGCATCAACAAAATGACTGCGGCCTTCAAAGAAAAAAATTACGACTTCGTGCCCTCTTATGTTGTGTGTATTTTAATTTGAAATTATTAAATTTGGAAAATATTCATTCATTATAATTTTTGCATTTATAAAAGTTGTGTTTGGTTTGATTTCAACTTGAAGGTGTTTTGACTTCAAAATTCATCCAAGAATATGTTGCAATGCACATTCTGTTGCTCTACAATTGCTGCCCTGAAATGTTTTGATAAGCACGTTATTCTTTTATGAAAGCTGCAAAGTTTATAACAAATTCTGTAGTGTAGAAGTGGGATAAAGGTAGGGCAATTGGTGGAGTAAGGGAGGAGAACAAAGCCCGTTATACAAGATCTGGAAGTTAAGCACCCTTCTGCTTTCGAAAATGAATAATTTAATAAGAACATGATTGACGAAAACTCAATGTATTTTCAAGAAGTACAATTAGAATTATTAAAATCACGTTCTTCATAGAGCGATAACTCTTCTTGTGTAAATATTTCACATGTCCATGCCAGCATTCATTTTTCCTGTTTATTTTTGCCATGCTCTTTGTCTAAAAACTTTAAAAATATGATTTAATTTTGAAAAGACAAATTACTTGAAATGCGAACACAGAAAAAGAAAAGTGTGTTAAAAATGTTATAAATCAGTACGTCAGCGGCCAAGTACATGAAACTAAAAGTTAGACTATAAAGGTTTTCATAAATAGTGGACACAAACTTTAATTTCAATTACAGAAAAACCTCACAATGTATGGTTCCAGGTTCTTTCCATATGTCGTTCATAAACCTGAAATGCAGCTTTTAAACCACTTTCTAAAGCACCTTGTATCCACATACGGGTAAAAGAAATTCTTTCACCAGCGAAATGAACGTTACCCATCGGCTCCCATAAATGCCTAATTGTGTAAAAAAATATTATGTATGTTAGTTAAAAAGTAGTTTGCTTAGAAGTCTACCATATATAAAGATGAAATTTCCCATATTTCTCAAACACTTTTACAAATATAAGAGCAAATTGTTAAAACAAACAACAAATGTTGTCAAACTGCGCTACAAAAAGCCATTTGTTTTTTGTACGTTAAGAAAACGAAAATAAAATTATAATTTTCTTTTCGTTTTTCTTGTTTTGCTGCGCCAATTTCTAAAAAACCAATTTCTAAATTGAATTTTTGTGTTCTGGAGAGTGTGACATTGTAGTCCTAGTTATAATACGACTGCAGTGTTTACTTTGAAAATCTGAGCATTAATTTAACCAAAAGTGTACATTCAAAACAATGACTTGCAAAACTTCCTTGTATCTGCGAGGTAAAACGACGGGTAAACAAACTGTAAAATATAAATACAGCACAAAGTGTAAAATAATGAACTTTCTTCTCTTGATAGATTCATATATTCTCCTTAAGTCATCAAATATCGATTCGTTGATACTATGTCATCGACAAGTAGAATCTGTTAGGACTTCGTTGCATCAAAAAGTGTAGTATTCCTAGCTAGCTACATGATGATTATTAAACTCGTGTTCGCTTGCTTTTGCTTACCACAAAGGAAACATTTTTGATTCTAAAGTTTCAAACGAAGTTTCAAACGAGCTCAACAAAGCAACAACGTTCGAAAACTACATCGTGCGTTGACCTTGCACGGTGAACCATCAAAGCTGCGGTCCTGCTATTTTGGCAAAAGCTTGCTTTTGTACGGAGAATATGCAGCTAAGCGTTAATGAGATGTTTAATCTATTGCTTATACTTGAATTTAATATTAGTTTTGCAGAGGTTTATAAAACAAAAAAAAATATTTTATTTTCATTTTTCAAGGGTTAAATGACAAAAACTGAAAGTAAACGTTTTTCGTTTTCCTAAAGCGTTAGAAAGAATGACCCTTGAAGAATTTGTAAGAAACAGGAAAATAGCAACTTGAAAGAAAATGAATTATCCCCTGCTATTCACGTATTATTCAATTATTCAGATGTGATAAAATCGGGAATTTGAACCATTTCAAAAAAAAGCATCAGAAAAATTATGGCAAAATCGTGTCGCATTATTATGCTTCAACATATAGCTGAAGTTAGCAATCAGAACAAATATTATCTGGTCTCGTTGTTCTTTTATTTTACACTAAAAGTACAGCAGTTCTTTTCTAAAACAGTAGAGACTACTATTTCTAAAGTAGTTCATTTTAATTGAAAAGAAATAAGTTGTTGGGGTCTGGCTTGTCTACAAGTACGTTTCTGAAAAATTACAGTCTACCCCGAAATTTCCTCACCTTGTACTTTCGTAATGAGATGTTTTCACTTCTCCATACGCTCCTTGATAAGATGGCAGATTATTCCAAGCATGAACAATAAAGGCTGTCACCATATCTTCTTTGAAGGTTGGATGAATTTCTTCGAGTTGTTCAACTACTTTCCGTTTTACCACTTCTTTCATCGACCCAAAAAGCAGAGCCTCCTTCGTCCACGTGTAAATCATTAAAAGCCCCTCTTTCGTTTTGCAGTCTTCCGGGGTGACGTAATGAATCTGGCCTATGGGAAGGTTTGTCTTTGAAAAACCACCTTTGATTCCTTCTTTTTCCCAGAATCTTTCTTTGGATTGAAGAAAGATTTTTGTTGAATGCTGATTAAAAACATTTCCCATTGCCTGGACGCTTTTTTTTATTGCCAACTGGGATTCAATATCATCAAGCTTTGATTTGAATTTTATTTGACGCAAAATGTTTATCGGCGTGGTAATAATTACTGCCTAGGCAACAACAAAATACATGTACAATTGCGATTATTCATTTTTTGAACAAGAGCACACCACTCTTTATGTAAGAGGATAGTATTTTCTATTCATAATTCAAAGTTTTCCTGAAACATTTACAATTGCTCGCCATTAGTTCAAGAACATTGTAGGATTGATTAATTCGATTCAGTGATGTAACTAGAAGACACGCATAAACATGCTTAAAAATCACGTCATAATATTATGCTTGTTTGTGAAAATGGTGTTTACACAGAAAAATCCTTCTAAAGTGGAATAAACATCAAAAAATGCACTTTGTACAATTTAGTTGTTGCTAGCAATTTTTGCAACACATTAGCAAGCCAAAAAATAATAATCGAAAAGTACATAGAAGGTTTCAGGAGAAAAGCATTCCTTAAAAAAGAAACAAATATTAGGGAAAAACATTATGATTTTCAAATTTGGTGTCAAGTAAACTTGCAAATAACAAAATAATTTTAATTTCCTAAACTCACCTTTGCCTTATACACACATGGTGCATCATTGATAGAATAGAATGACACCTCTACGACATCTTTCAGTGGATATTTTTTTTGATACCCGTAATCTATTTCATATACTTGCTTCTTGTATTCTATGTCATCTTTACTCAATATTTCATTTTTTAAAAACGCTTTAGCCAAATTATGCATACCACCTTTCAAGCAATGCATCTTACCAGATGACCACTTTCCCAGTTTAAAAGAAAGAAAGTGGTCCAGGGACTGTTCAATTTCGGGCACATAGCAAAATACAGAAAACCACGAACGGCATCGTTAGACCATGGCAAAAGTTTTTCAAGTTTGACTAAATCTAAGTCTTTCTGGTCTTCAACAGACACTTTGGCTTTAATCGCATTGATGTTACTTTCAAGAAAACTTTCCACCGTGAACCGACTCCAAATTTTAATCCATCGATCCCAAGCATTGACTTGATCACCGACGCTCTTGGAATTCGATAACCAGGTGCAAAGCTGGCCAGTGACGACATTTGTTGTTTCTTGGTAATATTTATCTTCAAAAGGAAAACAAACAAGTTTAGTTTTAATCGTGATCATAGTCTAACACAATCAAATAAAACATTTATCAACTTGCCATGTAAATAGTCTCTTAATTTTGATGGCTGACTTACAAAAACTGGGGAAAAAAAGTCTCATTAAACTTACAAATATCAGTTATATCTCCTTTTAACTCTTCCTTTATACCTTCTTTCCAATTTGGCCAAATTTTGATGAAATGTGTCTCACACCAAACTAAAAAAAAGTCGTAGTACAATCTATCAAATTCAATGATAATGAAGTTAAAAAAATAGCTCTATTAAAAGTATTTAGAAGATAAGGTTATCGTAATAACTGTTAATGGCGCATCAAGTGGTGGAAACAGGTTACAAATTTTACAAAAAATGTTAATGGCTTGAGTGTATTTTGCGAAGATACCATTGCTAAAAAACGAATTAGAAATTGGCTAATTTGATGAGGCGTATCTTAAGAGAATTTTTTCCGTTCCTAGCCGCTTCACGTATGTCCTCTTACTTCGCAAAACATATAGAACTTTATTATAAATTTTTTGTAGTGTCTACTTTTAAAAAATTTACTTTTAGTTTTTTCGCGAAACCCATAGATACAAGAAACGGCATTTTCATCGTAGTTTGGAAAACTTTTTATTGGTAGATTGAAGTTCTTGATGTAACCATTTGTCAAATAATGTTGCCCCTCAGATTGACCATCTGCATCACAAGGAATTCGCATAGCCCCTGCTAAAAAACAAAGAAAAAACAATTCATCTCTCGTACAAATTATTAAAGGGTATGTATAATAGTAAGGTTACATGACACTTTAATTAAATTAAACTCTTGATTTCAAAAGTAAGCATAATTCAACTTAACTGATTTTATTAAAGCTTGAATACTCAATTTAAAGGAGTAGTCAGACCTTAACACAACTTCCACTCATATGAAAGTGTATAATGTTCTTACCTCTCTCGCGAAATCCTAGGTTTCCAATTCAAATTTAACTCGAGAAATAATGCCTTAAATGTTTGTATTTTTGCCTCTTGTTCGATCGCCATTGTGTACATGCAAGCGAAGCCGCAGTCCAGCAGCGGTTTTTCGTCGTTACGTCACTGCGGGGTTATAGTTGTCAACATTGGACAAAATATACTAGCAAAAGTAGAAATTACGCATAAGCATATTCATAGTTACATTTTATTTTCTAAGTTTTTAAATTATTTTGCGCAATGGATACGTATTACTCAAACGATTCCTCTAGTAATTATTCTGGAAGCAGTGTTTCAAACTACGAAGAAATGATTAACAATCAAAACATGATTCAACCATATGCTTATGAGCCGACTGAAACAGACTCTAGCGACGAGCCTACGGACTACTCCGACGAAGTTTAGCTGTTGTAACAATGAATGAAGACTCAGCACAATTTGAGGGAATAGATACTCCGGACTGTATTACAGATAATCCTGTTTTTTGAAATCTTTGTTTAAATTATTGGGTATTACGACTGGCATGGAGTGAGTACAAACAACACTAAGGTTCAAGAGCTGAAGAAGGACCTGAACACAAAAGACAAAGACATGTGGCTTACAGGCAACTGGTTCGATGGTGTTGGAATGTATTGGGCAAGGAAATTAGAGTACCACTACCATCTTTTGCTGTTAGCTGCATTTGAGCACATTTCCAACCACCAGGTCTAGAAGAGGACTTTGTCTTGGAGGGTTTTAAATTCGCTGATGAATAATAATGGTAATGTAAATTATTATAGCCATATTTATAAGTATCGTTAATGATGAATTACTAATAAATAAAAATATAAATTGGATTTAGTAAATGAACAATAAATACAAATTATAATGGCCAAGCCAAACCAATTCTTTATTTGTGCTATGCAAAGATTTTGGTGTACATAATTAAAAAGTGCCTTTGCTAATGAATTTGCACAGCAAAACAAAAATTGGGCTACTTTACTATTAGAGATTCTCTTATTATTGTGCTTGTATAACACTTTCTTTGTTTGGCTTTTCTATAGATGCAATATTTCTTGGAATGTTTGCTGGTAAAGAAATCTTGTTATGTACATTTTTTACATTAAAACAGCAGACATCTTCCATCATACCTTGCACAAAAGAATATGACTTATTCGCCATAATTGGCTTGGCTACCCAATTTTTCGCCCTTTTGGGAACACGATAAGCACAAGTGGAAGGAGGGAAAATACTTTATTGAAAGTGCTTTTCGTATAAAGGTATGCTTGCAAGAACCAAGTTGGCAGTGATAGACCACAATGTTAACACTGGCAGAAAACAAGCACAAGTTCAATGTGGAGTAGGCTCGTCGCTAGAGTCTGTTTCAGTCGGCTCATAAGCATATGGTTGAATCATGTTTTGATTGTTAATCATTTCTTCGTAGTTTGAAACACTGCTTCCAGAATAATTACTAGAGGAATCGTTTGAGTAATACGTATCCATTGCGCAAAATAATTTAAAAACTTAGAAAATAAAATGTAACTATGAATATGCTTATGCGTAATTTCTACTTTTGCTAGTATATTTTGTCCAATGTTGACAACTATAACCCCGCAGTGACGTAACGACGAAAAACCGCTGCTGGACTGCGGCTTCGCTTGTATGTACACAATGGCGATCGAACAAGAGGCAAAATTACACACATTTAACGCATTATTTCTCGAGTTAAATTTGAATTGGAAACCTAGGATTTCGCGAGAGAGGTAAGAACAATATACACTTTCATATGAGCGGAAGTTGTGTTAAGGTCTGACTACTCCTACTACCATCAGATGAAATGCCCTCTTGGTTTTCCTTAATTTTCATTGTCAATGCGAAAGTAAACGGTTGTACATATGTTTTATGACATCGTACTCATCACACTTTTGCATTATACTTATGATTTATACTTATTAAAAACAAATATAGAGCTCAATCAATTATAAAAAATGATGAGGACTAATAAAAGCATCTCAAAAACTTTGTTATAACTATAAACGTGAAACACTGAGCAGGTTACCAATTCCTGTTAGAGAGTATTTATAGCACATACTAATTTCTACTTTGGAACAAAAACGTTTCAGTTTTTCCTATATTTACAGACATGCGAAAACAAAAAACTATAGGAAAATACCTTCTTGTTATGGGTAGCTATAACTTCACAGGAAAATGAAATTGTCGAAAAATTTTGTACATTTGATGTTAAATCACAAGTGAAAACTTTTGTTTGCTAAATTACCTAAGACAAAAAGGAAGTTTTGTTTATATATGAAATTATAATAAGCCATTTTTAACTTCAACCTATTGCTCAGCGCCCTATCCTAAAAATGTTAAACCAAAATAAGTTGAGAACACGATGGCGTCCTCAACGCAGTTCTCTTCGACATTTAGACGCCGTTGTCGTTTTGTTTTATTTTGGCTGAAAATTTTTTCTATTTTATTGTAACTTTCACGTGCCTCAGTTCACTCCGAACTTTCTTCTACGAAACCCATCTGCCACAAATGCAATCCTAATAATATTGAGCAAAATTTTCAAAACCATGTTTGGTGTTGACACCTTGTACTTAAATAGCATATTTAGCAATTTTACATAAACGTCAAAAAGTGGGCTTTTCAAGAGTTAATTCAACGAATTTCAATAAATCATTTAAAAAAACGATATTCAATTTAAGCATGCAAACAACCTTGGCTAATCAACTCACACCTTCTGCATACAAACCAGACGCAAGACCACTTTCTTTACCATACGTATAGACTCTTCCACCATAACGCTCTGTTTGCTCAAGTATTTTCACAGAAAGACCAGCTTTTTTCAACTCGTACGCTGCAGATAGACCTGCCATTCCTGCACCAACAACGATGACGTCAACCATAGTTTCATCTTCATGTACAGCACTGACAACAAAGCTTGAAAGACCGGATTCCTGAGGCTTGTATCCGTAACGATTGTAAGCTTTCTGCAAACCTTCATCTTGAATACATTTCAGAAACGTTTTTATGCAGTCATTGTGTTGTATTGGAATTGAATTGTTTCCGGGAACTTTTGCAGGTTCATCATTTTCCCAAAATCTTTTATGACTTAAAAGATATTGTGACGCCATTTTATACCTCTTGATTGCAGAGAATAAGAAATTTTAATTAGTGCAATGAAAGTAGAATAAATTATATACTAGTCAACAAAGTATAAATTATATGACAATTCATAAAATACTCCTTCACTCTTTTGTTTCCAGGAGACATTTATAACAATTTCAACCACAAACCCTTATGGCTTAGTTAAAAACACCATGCCGTGTTCCTAAAATAAAATATACCTTATAATTGAGTTAAAACTTGCTAATGTTGAACGAACGTAATTTTGGTTTATGATGTAATTTTAACAAAAGTACAATGTTCTAGGGCATCTAAGCAATAATCGTTTAATAAATAGTCCTTTCGACCTGTACTTTCAAACACATAAAAATAAAAAGGCAAATAAAAAAAACCTAAACGTTTACTGAGTACATTGTCAACTTGCTACGTTGTACAGTTGAGTTTCATATAAAACTGGAGTCGCAAGTATGTATTTCATCATCACGTATAAATACAATTTGATGCAAGATCAAAAAACTCTTAGCATATAAAGGTTAAGCTACTGATTTGTATACAATACTGTTCCCATTTTTAATGGCATTCATCCGTCACTTTTTATGCTATTTCAAACAATTTTATCTGAAACTTAATCACAAAAATTACACATATTAAAATTGCTTTCCAAAATTTTTCATTAAGAAAAGATGCACGTATCAAAACATGCTCTATAGAAGCGGGATATGCATGTACATATAGAACTGATTACACGGTTGTTATTGTATGGCAAGCGTCATTTCAGGTGCTTTAACTGGCTCAAACATATTGTTTTCCTTTAAAAAATAAAAAACAATAAAACGTGAGCGGTGATTGGTCTCCAGCCGTGTTTGCACCAGTCAGTGTAAAACAGATTTGAGCTCAACTAATCAAATCAATCAAAACAATCAATCAGTCAAAGAATACATTTTAGATGAAAAATTAAAACGTTTGTTTTAAACTTGTCTTGTCGCATTATTGTTATTTTATAAAAGAAATAAAAGAAGTTTTTCGTGTATGCACTGGCTTATGCAAACCTAGGAGACGTTTGTGAGAACTTTCGAGCAGGTGCAACCCTCGACCTTCGGTTCCAAAGGTCACCTCATATTGCATAAGCCTGTGCAAACAAAGCAAACATCTTTTATTTCTGAAGTAATAAACGAGCGGTTCATATCACGTAGCTTTTTCGACAAAATGTAAAGATGTAAAGTTCCATAAAACGCCAAAAATAAACGAAACAAAAAACATGTAGTTATACGAGTCGTAAGAGAAACAAGGGGGAAAAGAATTCTATTTTCCGGACGACAGATTTTTAGACGCTTTATTTTTTATTGACAAAACTAGAGGAGTAAAGTCAAAACAGACAGAGAGAATGAGAAAAGAAAGAAAGCTTTGTTTTAGGTCAAATAATGCCATATAGTAAACTTCTTATTAACCTTTCTTGCTCGGTTTTAACGGATAACTATTGGATCTCTGTCTTTTGGTACACGTCCTAGAGCTGCCGTGCTCAATCTGTAAAAGAGCAACTCGGTCAGTAGAGACCTCGCGCTAGGTTAGGGCTTACTAAAATTCATCGTTTCTTTGGGTTGCAGAAAGAAAGAAAGGGAAAAAATGTAATCAGAATGAATGAGATAAAATTTCTTTTGTGACCATCTAAATAAAATAGTATTTATTTGTTTAATACAATTTCGAACAAAAAAGCTTGATTGAGATAGCAATTAAGCGTCGCTCATTCATACGTAGGCCTTAATGAGATTCGCTGTCGCAAGTTAAAAGCTTCAATCGTGGAAATAAAAAAAATGGAAAAAGAAGTTACGGTTTAACTTCCTATTTTCAATTTTACCTTAATTATCATGATGAAAATGATTGTACTTTCACAAATGCAAAGTACTTACACTTCTTTCTCAGAAATTTTTTACAAATCATCAGCAAGGTGAATGCTTCCCTGCATTCTGATTGGCTGCAGAGTTGGGCGGTATTTTACGATACATGACCGCAGTAAAGAATCAATCTTGCAAATTACATGAGCATGAGTGGCGGATCTAGGGGTAGGCAACTAAGGCATTTGCCTGTGGTAAAATTCATAAGCCAATCTGATTTTGATTTTATAGGATCAGGTTACTAGAACAGCAAAATACTAATTGATTAACATAGTTAATCGATTAGTATGTTGCAATTAGCAGTGCAGATAAGACTGATTTATTCATAGCTTTGTGGTTGTTAGGCAGAGACGCCATTTTGTCCAAACTTAGTGGGCAATCCCAGAGCCCTCTATAGTATAAGAGTTGGGACATCTATTGTTATCCGTTTAGCTTACGTTGATTGGGCAATATTGATCACATGATCAATTTCCGCCATTTTGGTTCCTAGTTTTGAAATTTTAGCTTGTGTTTATATAGCAATTGCTGCTAGTAATACAGTATTTTGAGATAATATTGCGTTTTTTTATGGATAAGTGTGTAATAACTGATTGTTGAAGGCTACTAAATGTCATTACATATCGCATAAATCGAGGATTACGAAAAAAATGAAAGAAATGCCTTTATGTCGAACTTACGAAATTTGATTGCGTATGGTGATTGTTGTGCTGAACTGCTTTTGATATAAGGTTCAATCAACTGACTCAAGTAAAGAAACATTTTGGGCCAAATAACATTGCAAAGTTCGTGCTGATGCAGTTTCAATAGTTTTCTTACTCCAAAGCTTGTTTTTAATCGAAGATGATTTCTCATTATGTTCTGAAATTGGTTAATCTACAAACCTCTCAATTCTCAGCCACTTCCATACTAAAACAACTACACCAAATCACAGAAACTCTTATGATTTTCCATGTTGTATTTTGTATTTTTAGTTCATCATTTAAAATGAAGTAATTATAATTAGGATATTCAATGAAACAGCTGAGTACAATATATTTTTGGTATTGAATTGTACAAATGTACCCTACTTCTGTAGCTCAAAGTAGAACATTACTTCTCTTCTAGACTTGTTGATGATATTTTAATTGTAGGTTTTGGTTTATAAGATCACAGAGGCATATCTCCATAATTTCAGCTATTTGGGCTTTTTAATGTATATTACAACTGTATGAATGTTTTATGCAGTGCATTAAATGAAGATATGATCATTGCTTAAATTGTTGCGATCATATCTTCATTTAATTAGTATATAACAACTGTTGCTGCCTTTCTCATATATATTAAAATATTGCCGGCTTTCTGATATATATTTAGGTGCTGCTAGCTTTTTGATATATATATTTCACTGGCAATACAAGGCATAGAATTTAAACAAACGGGGCTGAGCTCCTCCAACACACCCTGTTTGATCATTAAACACATATAGAAGTTTTGTCATTCCTCAACCAATAAATTTAACTCCTTGCTAAATTAAAGATTGGATCAGACTCATATGCTGTATAAAAGACTACAAACAGTAGCATTTATAGCAAAAAGACTGTTCTTCAACAACAGAAATGTTTCATATTATAGAAATAATATATTCATTTTAAAGAAATGCTTCACCAAAATTTTCAGCAGAATCCCTAACAAACTTTATTAGAAATAAACTTTAATACTTTATAAAGTGATAAAGGCGAAATAACTTCATATAAAGGAATAAACCGTTTAAGGTCAAATGCATCTTGGTCAAATCATTGCATATTTCAATAACTAAAAAGTAAAAAAGTCTGTCATTTTCTGCTGAGCAAGAAAATTTTGTGATCTTTCAGAATAAAAAATATCATGCTTGGATTAAATTGGGGGGGCATAAATCACTCACTACCATTAAATTGTTACAAATCTTGAACACAAATCTCTCCGGACCAAATCTGCATGATTACTATGATTCGAAGTTTCGAACAAAGTCTTGTCCAAGTATTTGATAACACTGATGCCAGGATAACATTGCCGCTTGCCACCAAGCTTAAAGATCTTGAAAACTTGTTACAGAGTCGGAACATAAGCCGAGAAAACACGTTCACGTACGAAAAATACTTCTTACAATGGGTCACGATCAATTTGAACTTATTTTGAAGCACGAACTAGTAAACCGCAAACGAAGCTCAAACCAATGAAATTAAATCAGGTCTGCCGCAAATCGTTAAAAAAACGCAAAGAGCTTGCTATTATTCCTAATATATTTGATACTACCATGGAATAAGCTTAAATTGCTTTCTTCTTTTGCATATAAACCCAATTTCCAATAGTATTATTATAGATTCACTTTGCAAGTAGGAACCAAAATGGCGGCTCCGCGCTCGCCCCAGACCGTTTGTCCCAACTCTTACTAATAGAGGGCTCTGGGCAATCCAGCCATTTGATTGGTAGATATTCATTATACCCAACTTAGACGAATTTTGCCTAACTTGGCATTATCTGGAAGGCTTTCTGATTGAAAGAGATTTATAAATTGTGTGTGTTCCACTGAGCTACATATTTTGCCTAACTTGAGCCAAATGAACCAATCATGGCATTTGCTAAGAATTGATGTGTTATAGCATAGAATGGACATCTCACAGCAGGCCCACTCGGCTAAAGTCATGGCGTATTATTTCACTACACATGCATAACTTCCCAGCAAGATACATACTTTCACAAAATCAATATTGAATACTATTACACCAGAATGCTATTTTACTAATAGTTCACGTGTAAAGCAAAAGTTTGCCGAAATTTCTACAATGAGTTATCATCTTGCAAAGAAGATAAGGTTCTAAACGCAGTGCAAAATTTGTAAAACTTTTTTTGTAAATTATATGGATATATTTGTAAATTATATTGATATAGTTGTGAAGAATAATTAATACAACAAAACTCCCAACAGAATATGCTCAAAGTATTTGAAAATAGAATGTGTGTTCAGTTATGTATTCTGACCATCGCAAGATATGACTGTGTTTACTATATAGTGACAGCTGTGACAAAGTTTATATGCTTCCAAACGACAAAATAAAAGTTCCAGCAAATATTGCAATTCTTGACTTGAAATTTATTTATATTGGTGATCAGATACAATAAATATTCACTGTTATTCTGAGATTCAGCCAAAATGAGCATGCATTGGTTAATAATTAAGTACCCATATGTTGGTTGCAAGTAAAGATTTCGTTTCCTCACCGCATGTTTTTAACTTGTTCCTCAGAGTCAATTAATGTCGATTCTCCAATTAAGATTCAAACTGCCTTTTCTAGTATGAAGTGTGATTGGCTCTATTTAATTTAAGCTGTACTATGTGCAAAACATGCTTGATTTCGTCGAGACATATTATTTATACTAACGGCCTTAATCAACTATAATTGATGAAAACTTTGAATTTATTCCCAATTTATGTAACTTTCAATAATATTAATTTTACAAACCTACAGCTGTTGAAAATACGCCACCAAACCGACCAAAATTTAGTATCATAATGTCAATGTAACATCACCGCCATTTTTTTGCGTTCAATACTTCATGTAACTTCTGCTATTACAACAACATCTCGGAAATTTTCAGCAAAAGGAAATTAGAAAATTCCCACCGTGGCTCAAGCAGGCAACAAAATTTTATTTGTAGGAGGATTAGTTCACAATCATTTACAGGTCGAAACTTTCCAATATTGTATGTGCTAACTGTGTGTATGTGTAACTAAACATGAAAAAAGTGTGAACAATTTGCATATATATCTATAAAGAGTTACTATTTGTTATTCTTCTCTAATTTTTGCGAATAAGGAATGATTCAAGTAAACGTATTTCGACACTTTTTGTTTTCTATTGTTATATTTTTTAGGTGTTTTATTTAAAAAGTCAATTAATGGCAAAAAAAAGAGTTTGGTCTTATGATGAATAAAAAGGCTCTTTTTGGCTTTCTCTTTCATTGAATGGCAGTGTCATAAAGAAAGTTATCCTTCATGGAATATGCATTTGTCAATATAATAACAGTAATGCTTGAAAACTTCCACTCCAAGCTTTCACTTGAAAAAATGAACATCATGAAGAACCACAAGCATTAAAATTGACGACGAAGTTATATCTACTGTCTTTGAATGTCATATACTTTGTATTGATGTCTATGTCCAGAGAACTGTAACCAATGCTCAGCACAGCAGCTACTTCGATATCCTTTTATGTCTCATGTGGAACAGTTTAAGCAATAACATCACTTCGGATAAGCTTGACGCTGAAAATGATCAAGGGAGAAATCAAAATGGCTGTGATGATGGAGATGAGTCTCCTGATTTGATGCTTATTCTTTAAATGCTTGGAAAAAGTTGTAAAGGTAACTTTTTATTACATAATCGTTTAAATAGACGGTAATTTGGTCATGTGAAAGAAAATTTGTTTGTGACTTAATTTTTGAAATGTTTTATATACGCTTTGATACGTAATAAATTGGACGGCTGTCTGTATGCGATCAAAAGAGTTCCTCTGTATCCGAAAAGTGTTCCGTTGAATTGCTAAATTGCTCGAGAGAGAAGTTCCTTTCTAGATTGAACTATGCAAATATTGTAAGGTAAAAAGAAATTTATTATCCAAAATGAATCAAAATTTTATAACATTAAGGGTTGAAAGCAAAAATAAATTTAGACGATACAAATTGCTTTGCTTGTCCAATGTTATCTGTGTAAAAACTGTAATAAAAAAGTAGATAGTCCCTTCTTTTCATAAAGCCTATGGATGCTTTTGTTCATGATGAGAAAGTTATAATATATAAGAAGGTTCTCGTTTGTCACAAAAGAGTTATGAGAAAGGTACATTGTAAAAGATATCTAAAAAACATATAGTCAAAGAGGCAGTATCCTTGGATGTTCTAGTTTCTCTTATGAGATAAACAAAAAGGTATAAATCAAAAGCAAAAACCCCGTTTTCGATCTATGCTTCCCGAAAGCTTTTTAAGCGTAAGGCACTAGAGCGCCGCATGTTAACGTTTTGGTTGGAGATTTTGGCCCCTCCACGCTATCCTACTTGGGGATGCCAATGCGTAGCAAGCTTCCGCCCAACAGACCCCGAGATCACCTGCGATAGACTTTGCTCGGGGTACGCAGGGAGAGTGCGGTCGCGACCGAAGTCTGGGCCTCTAAGCCACTGCATACTATATCGCACCTAGCTTCCACTGCTAGTTGATATCTACTATGGGAAGTTGTAGATTTATATATATATACCTAAATTCAAAGGCTTACAAAAGTTGTGGTATTATTAAAGGTCACTACTGCGCATATTCCCAGATGATTTCTTTGATAATTTGCGATTGAGTGAGCTAATTGCCACAAATGTAGTGCAAGTACATATAGTTAGTCTTTGCCATGACTATGAACAATTATTCGAGTGGACTGCGCAAGATCGAGCGCATGCCCAGATGATGTCTCTATTAATTTGTCACTAAGCATGCTATTTACTTAAAAATCAGTTCTAGTAGATGCAATTGGCCGTTGCCATGACCGTGAAGTTGGGCAGCTAATAAATTCGACTGCTCATGCTTAAACAGACTGCGCATGCTCAAATCATTTATCTGAACCATAATTGATACTGGTACATACAGTTGGTCGTTCTCAATTAAATTGTGACTGAGCGAGCTCTGAAATTGGTGCTTGTATATGCGCTAAGCAATTTTTCATTAATGTATTTTTGGCATGCTCTTTGTCTTCTTAAGCTTGTTTTGACAATCAAGTATATCAACACATTGTCACGCCACTCGTAATATTCATGACAATGTTAGATATGTTTTTATTTTCTCTATAACTTTGTATCTGCATATTTTGTCCATAAACAATGCTCCAAGATTTATGACAGATATATTTTTACGTGGATTGAGGTAGAACAGATACTTGAAAATGAAACTTCCAGCAGTGAAACAAAATCAAGCAAGACAGAGAAAAAAGAAAGACGCCAGGTTGAAGAAAGCTTGATGAAATTGAACGTAGTAGAAGCACCTAGCGTACGCCCGATAGTTTTGCATTAGGACTCGTGGAAATATCAATGAATATCACATATACAGTTTGGAAGCTCGTTGGCTCACGTGGTATATGGTAGTGGGAATTCTTCATGTTGTTGCTCAAGATATGTAAAAATAACTACCAGCGTCTTTCCTTAAGGACGAGGCAAATGATTTCGAACGTGAAGAGGAGGCAATCACCACAAGAGATTTGCAAAAGATTGAAAGTGTACTGTTCAATCCATAGGTATATACAATTGGATTATTGTGAGGAATGTTATTGAGGAGGGATAGTACAAAGACCAATAGAGAATGTGGCGGCTTCATATTAAAGTATTGCAATGTGTTTAAACACATAGCAGAAGAGACTTGAAGACACTGGCGGAAAAGTATTTACATTGTTCAAAAATTATTTTGAATTTAAAAACAGCAGTGCGAGTTGTTATTTATTTATCTAAGCCAGATCCACTGACTGCTTAAAAAATGTACGATGCATGTATGTCTTAACAGACATTAATTTTTCAGCGAAATGTAAATTTTATCAATAATAACGGTATCCATGCGTGATGAAAAATATAAAAATGGTTTACATTTTGTGGGCTGGGAGGCTACCTTTGCCTAAGGTTAGAAGCTCAAACTTACTGTAAAAGCGAATAAAGACTCAAAATTAAATAGAATAACTCAATAGCTACTCTACTAGTACATTACTGAATATACAACTCATTTCTCAAAGAAAAATCATTTATATGGAATCATGCAGATAGTCAAGGCTGTTTGAGCTCTAAAAATGTGAATTGTCACGTATTGAACTCCTTGTGATTTAAATTGCCTTTTTCAAATCGAAGGACGTTTAGCTCTAATTAATATACTCTATATATGGGCAAAACAGTCTGTATTTTGTATCTTTTATGTATTATGTACACACATTTATATTTTAGACTGACAGACATACAGTATTAAACAATAAATGACAAAATCTTTGGATTTTAACACTTTCTACGTGACGTTACATAATTTTAATTTCACAAACTTACAATGCTTGAAAATTTTATAAGGAAAAAGTCCAAGCAGACCGAAATTTAGTATCATTTGTTTTTGGATGCAAAAAATTAGTACTTCTTGTAACTACTGGTGTCTCTTAGAAAAGTCTCGGAAATTTTTCAGAAAAGAAAAGTTCTTTTGAAGAAAATTCCGGAAAAGTAAAACATGTTTATTTTTTTAATTTACTTCATTTACTTAAATATTTAACTAACTTTAATATAATTTCATCCTCTTTCAATAAAGTGTATCTATATAAAGTTATCTTCCATATATTAACAGGTTTCTTCCATGATTCCAATGTTTATCACATTTAACTAAGAAAATTAATCAATGAAAAGACTCAATCATTTTGAAATAAAAGAACAAAAATCATAAAAACTTTTAAAATATGATTTAATTTTGAAAAGACAAATTACTTGAAATGCGAACACAGAAAAAGAAAAGTGTGTTGAAAATGTTATAAATCAGTACGTCAGCGGCCAAGTACATGAAACTAAAAGGTAGACTATAAAGGTTTTCATAAATAGTGGACACAAACTTTAATTTCAATTACAAAAAAACCTCACAATGTATGGTTCCAGGTTCTTTCCATATGTCGTTCATAAACCTGAAATGCAGCTTTTAAACCACTTTCTAAAGCACCTTGTATCCACATACGGGTAAAAGAAATTCTTTCACCAGCGAAATGAACGTTACCCATCGGCTCCCATAAATGCCTAATTGTGTAAAAAAATATTATGTATGTTAGGTAAAAAGTAGTTTCCTTAGAAGTCTACCATATATAAAGATGAAATTTCCCATATTTCTCAAACATTTTTACAAATATAAGAGCAAATTGTTAAAACAAAGAACAAATGTTGTCAAATTGCGCTACAAAGGGCCATTTGTTTTTTTGTACGTTAAGAAAACGAAAATAAAATTATAATTTCCTTTTCGTTTTTCTTGTTTCGTTGCGCCAATCTCTAAAAAACCAATTTCAAAATTGAATTTTTGTGTTCTGGAGAGTGTGACATTGTAGTCCTAGTTATAATACGACTTCAGTGTTTACTTTGAAAATCAGAGCATTAATTTAACCAAAAGCGTACATTCAAAACAATGACTTGCAAAACTTCCTTGTATCCGCGAGGTAAAACGACGGGTAAACACACTGTAAAATATAAATACAACACAAAGTGTAAAATAATGAACTTTCTTCTCTTGATAGATTCATATATTCTCCTTAAATCATCAAATATCGATTCGTTGATACTATTTCATTGACAAGTAGAATCTGTTAGGACTTCGCTGCATTAAAGTGTAGTATTCCTAGCTAGCTACATGATGATTATGAAACTCATGATCGCTTGCTTTTGTTTACCACAAAGGAAACATTTTTAATTCTAATGTTTCAAACGAAGTTTCAAACGAGCTCAACGAAGCAACAACGTTTGAAAACTACATCGTGCGTTGACGTTGCACGGTGAACCATCAAAGCTGCGGTCCTGCTATTTCTGCAAAAGCTTGCTTTTATATGGGGAATATGCAGCTAAGCGTTAATGAGATGTTTAATCTTTTGCTGATACTTGAATTTATATTGGTTGTGCAGAGGTTGATAAAACAAAAAAAAAACCGATTTTTATTTGCATTTTTAAGGAGGAGAAAACGAAAACTAAAAGTAAATGTTTTTCGTTTTCCTAAAGCGTTAGAAAAGGAATGGCCCTTGAAGAAATTGTAAGAAACAGGAAAATAGCAACTTGAAGACAAAATGAATTAGCCCCCTACTATTCACGTATTATTCAATTATTCAGATGTGATAAAACCGGGAGTTTGAACCATTTCAAAAAAAAACATCAGAAAAATTATGGCAAAATCGTGTCGCATTATTGTGCTTCAACATATAGCTGAGGTTAGCAACCAGAACAAATATTATCTGGTCTCGTTGTTCTTTTATCTTACACTAAAAAGTACTGTAGTTCTTTTCTCAAGACAGTAGAGACTACTATTTCTAAAGGAGTTATTTTTTAATTGAAAAAGAAATAAGTTGTTGGGGTCTTGCTTGTCTACAAATACATTTGTAAAAAATTACTGTTTACCCAGAAATTTTCGCACCTAGTACTTTCGTAATGAGATGTTTTCACTGCTCCATACGCTCCTTGATAAGATGGCAGATTATTCCAATCATGAACAATAAAGGTTGTCACCATGTCTTCTTTGAAGTTTGGATGAATTTCTTCGAGTTGTTTAACTACTTTCTGTTTTACCACTTCTTCTTTCATCGACCCATAAAGCAGAGCCTCCTTCGTCAAAGTGTATATCATTAAAAGCCCTTCTCTTGTTTTGCTGTCCTCCGGGGTGACGTAATGAATCTGGCCTATGGGAAGATTTGTCTTTGAAAAACCACCTTTGATTCCTTCATTTTCCCAGAATCTTTCTTTGGTTTGAAGAAAGATTTTTGTTGAATGCTGATTAAAAACATTTCCCATTGCCTGGACGCTTTTTTTCATTGCCAACTGGGATTTAATATCATCAAGCTTTGATTTGAATTTTATTTGACGCAAAATGTTTATCGGCGTGGTAATAATTACTGCCTATGCAACAACAAAATACAAGTACAATTGCGATTATTTATTTTATGAACAAGAGCACACACTGTAGTTTATGTAAGAGGATAGTATTTTCTATTCATATTTCAGAGTTATCATGAAGAAGTTAACGATTACCCAATGGCTAACCAATAGTTTAAATACATTGTAAGAATAATTCAATTCAATGATGTCACTAGAAGACACGCTCAGACATTCTTAAGAATCACGTCATTATACTTATTTGTGAAAATGGTGTTTATATAGAAAAATCTTTTAAAATGGAAGAAACATCAAAATATGCACTGTACAACTTAATTGTTGCTAACTCTATATGAAAAATTAGAAGGAAACACATTTGCAAGCCAAAATATAAATAATAATCGAAAAGTATATAGACAGTTTCAGGAGACAAGCATTGCATAAAAAACAAACAAATATTAGAGAAAGACTTCATGATTTTCAAATTTGGTGTCAAGTGAACTTATGAATAACACAATAAGTTTAATTTTCTAAACTTACCTTTCCCTTAAACACACTTGGTGCATCATTGATAGAATAACATGACACCTCCACGACATCTTTCTGTGGATATTTTTCTTGATACCAGTAATTTATTTCATACACTTGCTTCTTGTATTCTATGTCATCTTTAATCAATATTTCATTGTTAAAAAACGCTTTGGGCAAATTATGCATACCACCTTTCAAGCAATGCATTTCACCAGATGCCCACTTTCCCAGTTTAAAAGAAAGAAAGTGGACTAGGGACTGTTCAAGATCGGACACATAGCAAAATACGGAAAGACCACGAACGGCATCGTTAGACCATGGCAAAAGGTTTTCAAGTTTGATTACATCCAAATCTTTCTGGTCTTCAACAGACACTTTAGCTTTAATCACATTAATATTACTTTCAAAAAAGCTTTCCACGGTGAACTGACTCCAAATTTTAATCCATCGATCCCAAGCGTTGACTTGATCAACGACACTCTTGGAATTTGATAACCAATTTTAAAGCTGGTCAGTGACTACATCTGTTGTTTCTTTGTAATATTTGTCTTCAAAAGGAAAACAAAGAAGTTATGTTTTAATTGTGCTCACAGTCCGACACAATCATATCAAACAGTTATCAGCTTGCCTTGTAAATAGTCTCATTTTATGGCTGACTTATAAAAACTGAAGATAAGATTCATTAAACTTACAGATATCAGTAATATTTCCTTTTAACTCTTCATTTATTCCATCCTTCCAATTTGGCCAAGTTTTGATGAAATGTTTCTCACACCAAACTAAAAACAAATCAAAAAGTATCGTAGCACATTCTATGAAATTTAATGACAATGAAATAAATATAAATAGCTCTATTAACAGTGTATTTAGAAGTTAGGGTCATTGTCATAACTGTTAGCTAACTGGGCATCAAGTGGTGCAAACAAGTAGCTACAAGGGCAAGTTATGACTTTTGAATATTCTGTATTGAAGAAATAGAGGTTATACCAATTCACGTACATCCTTTTACTTCGCAAAAACATTTAGAATTTTATTATTAAGTTTTTGTAGTTTCTACTTTTAAAAAAATTACCTTCTGTTTTTTCGCGATATCCATAGATACTAGAAACGACATTTTTATCGTAATTTGGAAAACGTTTTATTGCTAAATTAAAGTTCTTGATGTAACCATCTGTCAAATAATGTTGTCTCTTAGATTGCTCGTTGGACCCACCAGGAAGTCGCATAGCCCCAGCTAAACAAAGAAAAAACAATTCATCTCTTGTACAAACTGTTAAAGGGCATGTATATATAATAGTGTTTAGTAAAGCTACATGACACTCTTACCAAATTAAACTCGTGATTTCAGTTGTAAGCATAATTCTACTTCATTGATTTTATCAAAGCTTAACATTCAACAGAAAAAGAGTCAATTTAAGATGAGATAAGATGCCATCTTGGCTTTCCTTAATTTTCATTGTCAATGCGAAAGTAAACGGTTGTACATATGTTTTATGACATCGCCCTCATCACACTTGTGCATTATACTTTTGATTTGTAATTTTTAAAAACATATATAAAACTTAAACAATTTTAAACAAATGATAAGGACTAATGTAAGCATCTCAAAAACTTTGTTAAAGCTATAAACGTAAGATGCATAACACTGAGCAGGTCAACAAATCCTGTGACGGGTACTATCTTTCTCGTGAGTTTTTTTGAAATTTTTTACGTCTACAGAAGCGTACTAGCAATAATCCAATCATTGTTTAATTTGTTTTAGATGAAAATAAATTTTTAAGCTAATTTTTTTCTAATTTTTTTTTTTTTTGCTTTAGGATTCTGTAAGTTAAGAAGTATTTATAGCGCATACTAATTTCTACTTTGGAAGAAAAACGTTTCAATTTTTACCATATTTACAGACATGCGAAAACAAAAAACTATAGGAAAATACCTTCTTGTTACGGCTAGCTATAACTTCACTGGAAATACGATTGTCGAAAAATTTTGTACATTTGATGTTAAATCACAAAAAGAAGTTGTGTTTTATTTATAAAATGAAATTCGTATATGTCATTATTAACTTTAACCTATTGAATTGACGCCCCATCCAAAAAATGCTAAGCCAAAATAAGTTGAGAACACGACGGCGTCCTAAACGCAGTTCTCTTCAATATTAAGACGCCGTTGTCGTTTTGTTCTATTTTGGCTGAAAATTTTTTCTATTTTATTGTAACTTTCACGTGCCTCAGTTCACTCCAAACTTTCTTCCATTAAACCCAACTGCCACAATTGCAATCCTAATAATATTGAGCAAAATTTTCAAAACCATGTTTGGTGTTGACCCTTTGTACTTAAATAGCATATTTAGCAATTTTATACAAACGTCAAAAAGTGGGCTTTTCAAGAGTTTATTCAACGAATTTCAATAAATCATTTAAATAAAACGATATTCAATTTAAGCATGCAAACAACCTTGGCTAATCAACTCACACCTTCTCCATACAAACCAGACGCAAGACCACTTTCTTTACCATACGTATAGACTCTTCCACCATAACGCTCTGCTTGCTCAAGAATTTTCACAGAAAGACCAGCTTTTTTCAACTCGTACGCTGCAGATAGACCTGCCATTCCTGCACCAACAACGATAACGTCAACTATGGTTTCATCTTCATGTACAGCACTGACAACCGAGGTTGAAAGACTGGACTCCTGAGGCTTGTAGCCGTAACGATTGTAAGCTTTCTGCAAACCCTCATCTTGAATACATTTCAGAAACGTTTTAATGCAGTCATTGTGCTGTATTGGAATTGAATTGTTTCCGAGAAGTTTTATAGGTTCATCATTTTCCCAAAATCTTTTATGACTTAAAAGATATTGTGACGCCATTTTATACCTCTTGATTGCAGAGAATAAGAAATTTTAATTAGTGCAATGAAAGTAGAATAAATTATATACGAGTCAACAAAGTATATATTATATGACAATTCATAAAATACTCCTTCACTCTTTTGTTTCCACGAGACATTTATAACAATTTCAACCAAAAACCCTTATGACTTAACTAAAAACACCATGCCGTGTTCCTAAAATAAAATATACCTTATCATTGAGTTATAACTTGCTAATGTTGAACGAACGTAATTTTGGTTTATGATGTAATTTTAACAAAAGTACAATGTTCTCGGGCATCTAAGCAATACTCGTTTAATAAATTGTCGTTTCGACCTGTACTTTCAAACACATAAAATAAAAAGGCAAATAAAAAAACCTAAACGTTTACTGAGTACATTGTCAACTTGCTACGTTGTACATTTGAGTTTCATATAAAACTGGAGTCGCAAGTATGTATTTAACCATCACGTATAAATACAATTTTGATGCAAGATCAAAACACTCTTAGCATTTAAAGGTTATGCAACTGATTTGTATACAATACTTTTCCCATTTTTAATGGCATTCATCCGTCACTTTTTATCAGACATTTTAAGTGAACGACGAGTTTTTTTATCGTAAACATGTTTCGGCATGCTTATGCCATTATCAGTACATCGAGTGAAGGTGATTATGCTATTTACATGATATATATATATATATATATATATATATATATATATATATATATATATATATATATATATATATATATATAGGAAGTTTATAATTTATGATTTTCCGTATAAAAACAGTGCTCGATGCCCGAGGCAGGCGTATTGATAAGGAGAAGAAAATACACAAAACTACAATTTATCCCGACAAGCCTGTTTCGTGATTGCTCACTTTCAGGGATTTAATGAATAAAATACTTAAATGCTTAAATATATATACAAGATGATGACGGAAGCTAGTGTATTAATCAAGGTGTATAGTTTCAGTTAGATGAAAGTTAGAGTATTAATTACGGTGTATGGTTACAAATTACATAGGAGTGTTTTGGATCTATGGCGACAAGAGGAAATAAGTTCGTTGCGTTCATTGAGGGATGATTTGGATGGTTGGTAGAGGATGAAGAATTTTTCTTTAAGGCAAAGGTTGCATCTTTTACTGGTGCTGTTGTATGGTTTGCTGTGTGTAATGATGTTCCATGAGATGTCGTGGTCGATATTGCTGTCTTTAAGGGTCCAAATGTGCTTACTGAGCTCGGTCGAGTTTCGTAGTTTTGTGGCGGAAAGAGGCAGTGTGATTTCTATGTCTAGTCTTAAATTCGTTTCTGTAAGTCCAATGTACGTCTCAGTTGTGTTATTGTCTTTGCGTTTTACAGTAGCTTGGTAAACAACGGATGACTGCAGGCAATTTCCGTTATGGGCAGTTTTGTTTTTGTCGGCAGTTGCATGTTTTGTAAGTGTCTTTTGTTCGCGGTGTTGTCGTTAGTTTTGTCTGATGTTCTCAGTATATGTTTGTTATGGTTGTTGATTTGTTCGATATTGTTCATGCAGCTGTAGCTGAGTTTGATGGTGTTACGGTTGAATATTTTCCTGAGTTTATGGTCTATGGGGAAGTGTTTGTCGATTAATGAAAGGAATTTGTGGCCGATGTTTGTGTAGACGTTTTTGCTGAATGGAGGGTTGTACCAAAGTATATTTTGCCGAAGTCTGTTTTTCCGTTTGGTAGTAGCGTCTGAGTCGAATTTTAGTGTGTATCGGTATCCGTTTTCGTCGAGTGCTTTTTGGTATGGTGCAGTTATTTGGTCAACTGATGCTTTGTCGACAAAAGCAACCATCCTCCAAGCATTACAAAGAACATACCTGATACCATTAACAAACGCCTTTCATCCTTATCATCCGATGGAGCATCATTCGACCAAGAAATTCCTCCATACCAAAAAGCACTTGACGAAAATGGATATCATTACACACTGAAATATGACCCAAACGCTACTACGAAACGGAAAAACAGACTTAGAAATAACATACTCTGGTACAACCCTCCATTCAGCAAAAACGTCTACACGAACATCGGCCACAAATTCCTTTCATTAATCGACAAACACTTCCCCATAGACCATAAACTCAGGAAAATATTCAACCGTAACACCATCAAACTCAGCTACAGCTGCATGAACAATATCGAACAAATAATCAACAACCATAACAAACATATACTGAGAACATCAGACAAAACTAACGACAACACCGCGAACAAAAAGACACTTACAAAAACATGCAACTGCCGACAAAACAAACTGCCCTTAACGGAATTGCCTGCAGTCATCCGTTGTTTACCAAGCTACTGTAAAACGCAAGACAATAACACAACTGAACGTACATTGGACTTTACAAAACGAATTTAAGACTAGAACATGAAAGTCACTGCCACAAAACTACGAAACTCGACCGAGCTCAGTAAGCATTTGGTTAAAGACAGCAATATCGACCACGAACTCATCAACATCATTACACACAGCAAAACCACAACAGCACCAGTAAAGATGCAACCTTTGCCTAAAGAAAATTCTTCTACCAACCATCCAAATCATCCTCAATAAACGCAACGAACTTATTTCCTCTTGTCGCCATAGATCCAACACTCCTATGTAATTTGTAACCATA